ACTACACGCAGCCTGAGGACTTTACACAACTGTCTATGTATGTACCGTAAAGTCTTGTATAAAAGCCGCGGCTTCTACGACTTTCTTGGTGAAATTTTGCAGGCTTCTATATGAGACAGGCTTCTATACAAGACAGGTATTTCTATGTATGTCAACACTAAAACCAGGCTTATGTGTGATTTGATGGGCCCAAAATTGCGGTTTCTATTCAAGTGCGGCTTTTATACATGAATTTACGGTATATGTATCTGCGTGTGTGTATGCATGTGTGTATGTGTCTCACCTGTTCGTTCAGACTCTGTTCCTAGCGTATGGACTGCAAGGTTTCGGCGGTGCCACGATTGGCAAGAGGCTAGTGGGTCTGTCTGTCATCTACTGCAAGGATTCACGCATGATCAACCGTGAACGAAGAGAGTTCTTTGTCGTACCGGGTGGAAACCTAGGCTTCATAAGGTTAGGGGCCGTCCGACATTGTCGATAATTTTCACGAAACAAAAAAAGTTTAGTGAGCGAGGTGACACTCGCGCTCTCTGAAGCGACATTATCGACATCGTCGTCAGAACTATCGATCTCGACAGGCTCAGCGACAAACTCTTCAACCATTCCGTTCAGAGCTTGGTCAAGCGCCTTGTCAACAGTGAAGAATTGGCGCTCGGAACTCATCTTGACGCAATCCATGATGCGAAAAATCAAATCCAAATTTCCATAACAAAGCAGTCAACTTGAGCTAACTTTGTTGTTGTTTGTTCGATTTCCATCAAACAAAGACCAGTGGAAAGGATTTTTTATGTAGACTAAGAATTTTTCTCTGTGTGTGTGTCTCTCTCTCTGTCTCTGTCTCTCTGTCTCTGTCTCTCTCTCTCTCTCTCTCTGTCTCTCTCTGTCTCTCTCTCTCTGTCTCTCTCTTTCTCTTTCTCTCTGTGCTACGTTTCTCAGGTCGTTCTTTCGCTCCCTGATCAAGGTGACGGTGCTGTTTGTCGCGTACCCTGTCATGATTGGCATTCTGTTTGTGGCCAACGGGCAAACTGTGTATGACCAGTACTCAGGTTCTCTGGTGGTTGAGACCCGGCGCGTGGCTGTACCCACAGTCGACGACGTGGACGATGCGGGCAGAGTGCTTGTCGTGGGGCAGCAGCAGCAACAGCATAATCATCAACACCAGCAGCAGCAACAGCAGCAACAGCAGCAACAACAACAGCAACAGCATATTCATCATCACCACCATCATCAGCCGCAGCAGCAACAGCAATTAGTACAACAACCTGTGGCGGCTCCTGGTGGTCCGTACACCCCGGTGCAGCCGCAACCAGCTGCTGCTGCTACTGCTGCTGCCCCTACTGCGCATATCCAAGCACCCGCGGACGGTGTTATCCATCCACCTCTTGATCCCCGCGACCAGCAGCAGCAGCAGCATAAACAGCAGCAGCAAGGTGATGGTGGTGATGAAGCCTCTGTTGGCGCTGACCGCAGGGAAAGCGGTGAGGGTGCCCGCCACCGTCGTCAAGTAGCTAATGCAGCTTCAGACACGTGATAGGTATGTATGTGTGCTGATGAGTGTTATGTACAGACTATAGAGTGGTGCAGCTCACATCAGCTTGTCATGTGACAACAGTTTGTGCAGAGAGTGATCATGGCATGTGGACCGTGGAACCAACATGGCCGATATCATGTGATCCATAGATTGACCCGAGTTGGAACCAACATGGCCGACATCATGTGACCCATAGATTGACCCGAGTTGGAATCAACATGGCCGACATCATGTGACCCATAGATACAGGGGTTGAGTGGAATTGGAACCAACATGGCTGTCCCATAATTTATGGTTATATGACAGAAGTGATCACACTTTGCATACGTAGTGCATGTAGCAGTTTGCCTGGATGAAGTCAGTCCTGGAAGGGCTAAGGGTTCTCCAAAGGTTGTTCGCCTGTGTTGAATGCTGGGACTTGCTTGACCTGCTCTTGAAAAACTTTGTGGAAGCGCCTATTTTTTATTAGGGAGGTTCCGGAGTACGATTTTTCGTGCCAAAATCCGTGGAGGCTCTACGGATTTTTTATACGTCGTTTTCGAGCAGTGAAAAGTTCCGGGGTACGGAACTTATGTGTTTGCCGTCATTGCCTAGGTTACGATCGCAAACACGTCACATTCCCGCGCTATGCCTTTTTATTTTGAAAATTTGTACCGAAATCAAAACTTCCCGCGAAAAATCGATGTTTCTCGTACCAAATTTGTACGCGAAAAATCTTTCTGCACCCGATGACGCAAAATCTCCATACGAAGCATGGTTCGTATGAAAGCCAGTCCACACGGATTCTCGTGCCGAAAAATCGTATGGAGCACGCCTGGAAAAAATCCGTAGCGCCCATACGGATTTTGGCACGGAAAATCGTACCCCGGAACCTCTCTATTGTTGGAATCTGTCTCCATTCTCACCCTCTGTGCGCGCGCGCGTGTGTGTACATGTGTGTACATGTGTGTATGTGTGAGTGTGTACGTGCATGCATATGTGTGCATGCATGTGTGTGCGTGCATGCCTGCATATGTGTGCGTGCATGCATGTGTGTGCGTGCATGCCTGCATATGTGTGCGTGCATGCATGTGTGTGTGTATACGTGTGTGCATGCATGTGTGGTGTGTGGACATTTGGCTGCCGTTTCCTCTGCTGTTCAGAAATCACTAGCCAGCACAGGGAAGAATCCAGCATCCCATTACCAGAATAGTGCATCGTTTGTCATCGTCAGAAATAAATCAGGCGGTATGACAACTCCCAATTCAGCCACAGGTTCCGTATACATTTCGGTATCTGCTCTTCCGTTTCGATCGCCCTCTTAGCGTTTTTTCATCTCCTACCTGTCCCACTAACCAACAGACATGTATGTTTTAAAGTGGCATGTCTTTCCTGATGCTTTCCTACCAGTCCGTGCGCTTATCACAGCAAATGTGCCAAGTTTCCCACGGCACGCACTCATGCCGCTACTTCACATCGCTCCGGCCAGCCAGTCAATACCCTCTATGCAACCATGCAGTCGAAGTGCTGAGCGCTTCTCCTGTTGTTGTTTTGTTTAACCACAGTCGGCGCTCGTCTGGCCCTGCGCCACCCGCGCCGATATATTCCTCCTTTAATACATAGTCCGTTTTTATCCGAACCCATTCGTTCACTCCTAGGTGCAATGCACAGAGCATGATTTTGAAGAAGCCATACTAGTAACTTTGCATGAACAAAATACTACTCTTAATACCAGCATAACCTAAAAGTCTGCTTGCGTCGCCGTCGAATAATCTTTCACGTATGCAATATATCACGGCCATCATGCCCCTAATTTCGATGCGAATAGTATCGACACCTTCCTGGCCACACTATCACACGCTCACAGTAGCTAGCTGCCCCTGAGCTTCCCGTCGTTGCGCCCTGCAAGATATCGCCGGTCTTGGCTTTTCTACCTCTGTGTTTTGCTGTCGTCGCTTTGCGAACGCCGATGTATTTTATTTTCTGCCGTTGAGCTACAGTTGCTTTTACAGTGTGCGTGCGCGCGCGCGTGTGTGTGCGCGTGTATGTGTGTGTGTGTGCCGAGTGGCCCATTGGCCTGCTTGCCTGCTGAATTTCGACGCGTTTACTTCTTGGGATGGTCATCGTCGTTGTTGTTGTTGTTGCTACTGCACTCTCGCTTTTTTACCTTTTTTTAGAATTTGTGTGCGTTTGCTGCTGGTCAGCATAGTTCACGTAGTGTCTATATCGTATTGTTTATCCCTGGATTCGAGAATGTTGGAATGGATGTTGTGTGTGTGTGTGTGTGTGTGTATGGGGGGCGCATGTGTGTGTGTTGTGTGTGTGTGTGTGTGTGTGCGTGCACGCGTGTCTGTGTGTCTGTGTACACATGTATGTGTATGGGGGGGGGGGGGGGCGCATGTGTGTGTGTGTGTGTGTTGTGTCTTGGCCGTCCTATTCCGATGTACTCCGTGTGGTGTAGACCAGGTGTGCATTGGGGGGTCGATTCACATGGCTTCGCCAGTTGTGTGGATTAGACAGTTATCTGGCGCTTGTCTTGATCTGTTTCAATCTGAATCAGATCCGCTATCGTTGCTGTAAAGAGAAAATCTGTGGATGCACATCCAGTGCATTTGCAGATTTGCGTGCTTCTCTTGCGACGGGCGTATACATGGTACATGGTGTGTTGTGTGCGTGCGTGCGCGCGCGTGTCTGTGTGCGCATGTATGTGTGTGGGTGTCTACGTATCCGAAGGCTACTTCCGTGCCAGCGCATCCAGAGTCTGGCATATCGTTGCTATCAACTTGTCATGGCTGTGGTTGTTTGTATGTCCACTGGCTGCGGTTGTTCGTAACGTTATGTCCACTGGCTCGATCTGGGTTTTGCAATTCCAGTACACTACCTATACCGGTAGTTGTCAATTGGCTGTTTTTCTAGGTGACTGTCTTGGCCACTCTGCAGTCATGTGTATTCTGATGAGCTCTCAGCTCTGTGTCCCCGGCGGGGCTGCGGTGTAAACCAGATGTGTACTCCTACCTGTAGACTCTATTATAACCTAACACTGGTTATAACCTAACACTGGTTCAAAACCTAACACTGGTTCAAAACCTAACACTGGTTCAAAACCTAACACTGGTTCAAAACCTAACACTGGTTCAAAACCTAACACTGGTTCAAAACCTAACACTGGTTCAAAACCTAACACTGGTTCAAAACCAGTATTGGATACACTTTGTTAAAGTTCACTCGCATATTGTTAGATTGACAGCATGAAACAAGGTGGAGGACACTGTGTTCGGAAACAGTGACCTTACTACAACCTTCGGACCGGGGCTCTGCCAACCACGGAAGGTTGTAGTAAGGTCATATGTGTGTGTGTGTGTGTGTGTGTGTGTATGCGTGGGTGTGGGCGTGGGTGTGGTGTATCCACAAGGAGGAGGAGGGGGTCATCACTAGCTGTACACCAGTACAGGTATGTGCACTGCACTAGCATTCACACCCGGCCGCAAGATAACAGACTGATATCGAATCAATCATTAAATTTTCGTTACCAGACGAAAAGCAAAGAGTCGCATTACAGTAAATTAGCGGGGCACTGTCACTGTTATCATACATGTACGTCTACGTCGGTATACGTTAGAACTTTTTAAAAGCACTCTTGACAATTCACAAAAAAAACGGGTGAGAGCAACGTATACTAACTAGCACGCGCTCACTCCTCCGTCTCTGGACGAGCGGCAGCAGCATGACGTTACATGAATTGTTGGATGAAGCCCATCGTCTAATGACAAGGACGGACAGAATTCAACTCAGTGTCCTTAGATGATAGATTATCCAAACTGTAATGTTAGATTTATCCTGGTTTATCCAATTCCAGCAGGTTTATCATAATTCCAACAGGTCTATCATAATTCTAGAAAGTTTGTCATGATTCCAGCCAATTTATTGCGATTATTTCAGCCGGTGTGTAATGGGATGAGCTTGGATAGTAGAGCACAGCTGATCAAATTCACATCGGACATCTGGTCAGAGCGATGGACTCAGGAGGAGAACGAAAGCAACTCGTACAGCACTCCTATAGAATTCTCCACCAGCGCAGTGACTACAGAAACAAGTCGTATTCGTCCTGTGCGACATCAAGGCTGCATGTGTGAGTCGCTACAGACAGACCGTACAGAAACAAGTCGTATTCGTTCTGTGTGACATCAAGGCTGCATGTGTGAGTCGCTACAGACAGACTACAGAAACAAGTCGTATTCGTCCTGTGTGACATCAAGGCTGTGTGAGTCGCTGCTCCGGCTGCTGCTGCTGGTCGTCTTGCTATCATTGCCGCGTGGACTCTTCTTTGTGTGCCAAGTCATAAAGTCCTGCGCCAGCTTCTCGCTCTTGGCACGATTTTGAAGAACCTGCCATTACATGATAGTGATCGTGTACACGCACACACACACGCACACGCACACGCACACGCACACACACACACACGCACACACACACGCGCGTATACGCTTAAAAAAATATAACGACAGAGCAGTTTCGCACCTTTGCAATGGGACTGTATTGAATTTGTGTAGCAAGATGGCATGTGGACAGGGGAACTGGCACGGTCGATATCTTGCGACCCATAGATGCAGGGGTGGAGTGGAGTTTGGAACCACCAAGGCTGCTGCACTGCACAGCATCACACCACACCGCACAGCATCACACCACATGACACTGCATAGGATAGCATCGCACCACACCGCACAGCATCACACCACACTGCACATCATCACATCACACCACATCACACCGCACAGCATCACACCACACTGCACAGCATCCCACCACACCGCACTGTGTAATCTTACCTGTACAACGCATCGATGTGCTGTGGGACACATCAGGTGCACCATTGCAGGTCGGTCACTGGGCTGGATAAGATCTGGACCACCTGGGCAGGGTAAAAATGTCATTTTTAAACATTTTTTCTGAACCTCAGTTCATATAATGCACCCGCACACAACTCCACCATCAACAAGGAAGTCAATATACACTGGTTAGCACAGAAACTGACTCAGAGGTCGGGCCAAAGGCAGCAGAACTACTACTAGGGACGGTGCATACGAACTATTATGAAGACGTATAGACATAGATATAAAAAGGGACAGAGTGTATATGGAGAAATATAGACCAGACTCTATAATTATTTACTCTGTGACTCGTGTGTTACTGCTCTGCTTCCGCATTGAGCACTCTATCGAGCCGGAGGACTCCGCTCTCTGGAGAAATATAGACCACGTATACACAGGATGCCGCACACAGTCTCCTGTCTAAAATAACACCGCTAGCCCTGAAACCTATACAGCCCCCCCTCCCCCCCCCCCCCCCCTCTCCCACGTTCTCACACAGCTTTTTATACAGCGCTACAAGACCCACCCTCTCCTGGCTTATATATCGGCATGGTCGGCACCCCATCTTCACGTTGCCTGATGATTGCGTGAGCATAACACTTTTTAAAAATAGCAGCAAACAAGCCTTGATTGTCCTTGTTGTTCTGTCTAGATCACGTATAAAAAACCCCGGCTAAGCTATACAAAGAGTGTACAGTTGCCAGTATCACCAGCAGCCCAGATCATGGCAGCGCACTCCCACTGTCACTCACCAGGTATTGGTCGCTGTATGGTGTGTAGCGGCACTACAGCCTGGGCTATGGCCGTCTCGTAGATACCAAACCACTCGCGGTGAATCAAGGTCACATGCAGCACGCCGTTCTGCATGGACGGCGTGGGACCCTCCGGTACAGGGCTATGATATTCAGATAGTGAGAGACAGGAGCAGAGCAAGAGTAAAGGCCGATTCCCAATACGACCTTGCAAGCTACCTGTCGCGGCAGAAGTTGAACGTTTGCGACGTGCAACGTGTGACATACACAAAATTAATGGCGTACGGTTTCTACTCTGGATGCACATGCACTGCACGTGCATAGTACAGCGCTGGCAACTGAGATCCAACCCCCTTGCCGGCGCGGCGCTCCGCCCTGGGGGTTGGATTTCTGTCGCCAGTGCTGTACATGCACTGCATAGGGACGTCGCAAAAACATAAAATATTGTGAATAGCATGTCGCGGTCGCAGCTCATCGCAGGTGTTGCAAGTCGCATGTCGCGTCACAAAAAAAGTTGCATTGTGACTCAGCCTTTAGTCCCCTCAGCAGCACAACAACACAAACATACGAGAATAAAGAATTCAAATTCAAATATACTGTAAGACCACGTATTCTAACGTCAATCAAAGTTAACCATCAAACCTATAAATAAGATTAGATATGCCGTCATCACCAACACACGCACGCACCCCCCCCCCCCCACACACACACGCACACACACACACACACACACACACACCTCAGACATGCCCATTGCGGAAGCGATGATAGCGAACAGCTATGTTAGACATAGCAACTTGTGCTGGTATTACACCATTCAACAGCTTGCAAGGCTGATGAATTGACCGCCACTATTTTTAGCCTGGTATCCACCACACAGCTGTTTGAAGTGACACACACACACACACACACACACACACACACACACACACACACACACACACACACACACACACACACATACACACACACACACACACACACACACACTGTCACACACACATACATACACACACACACACACACACACACACACACACACACACACACTGTCACACACACACACACACACACACACACACACACACACACACACACACACACACACACACACACACACACACACACACACACACACACACACACACACACACACACATCACAAGGAAACAACAGAGCTTCAGGAGGGGCTGATCAATGGTGCTTCACTATCCTTGTGTAGTGCATGCTGTTGAGCAATGGTAGACACTGCTGTTGAGCAATGGTAGACACTGCTGTTGAGCAATGGTAGACACTGCTGTTGAGCAATGGTAGACACTGCTGTTGAGCAATGGTAGACACTGCTGTTGAGCAATGGTAGACATTGCTGTTGAGCAATGGTAGACATTGCTGTTGAGCAATGGTAGACATTGCTGTTGAGCAATGGTAGACACTGCTGTTGAGCAATGGCAGACACTGCTGTTGAGCAATGGCAGACACTGCTGTGCTTTTTGAAACTGTTGTAGTCACCCGCTTTGCACACACTTCCTGCACTGGTCCCGGCATTGTATCGCTGACACGTGCACCTTTTGTGCTGATGAGCGCATCACGTTTATCGCACACGGCGCATTATGGTGGTCACCCAAGAGAATATCAATGCCATGTCTGTGTTCTTACAATGCAATTTTCATGTCGAATTTCTGATTAGACTTGCTGTTGATCCTGGCGGAGAAAACTGATACGGAGTCAGCAAACATGTGACGTGGGCAAAGCTCCATTCGTAGACATACATCTCCAGAGCCGGCTGTATGAACAACATACAGATGTACACACAAAAACACACACACACACACATGTACGCACGCACACGCACACACACACACACACACACACACACACACACACACACACACACACACACACACACGCACACGCACACGCGCGCACACGCACACAGACACACACACACACACACACACACACACGCGCGCATACACACACACATATTTTTGTTGCAACTAGTAGCTCCATGCCCTTAGGGCTCTATTCGCGTGAATGTTGAGCACTCTCCCAGGCCGGAAGATTCGTATTTTCAGACAGACAGACATAGCGTTACTGACACACAACAACAGGGTTTGTTAATTTCATTATACCAGAAGCATTTCGCCCTTTTTCATTATTGGGTACATGGGAATGAGCTTGTTTGCCTATATTTCTGTTCAAATGCTTTAAACTGCGACTGGACCATCGACTAATTTCAGGATGTGAATTATGGTTTGAAGTACAAGGGCCGGATCATCCGTGGTTGCGAGAGTACCAGCTTTCTACGGAACTTCCCTGCGTGTGGAGTTGTGCTCCGCTCCATCAAGATGCAGGTATGGATGGTCAAGGCGAAGAAAAGATGGATGATTGAACGCGCTTTCATCAAGGACGAATCGGAGAAGACTACCGCTAACTTGGAGTACTTTCCATTGGAGTACCGCCCTGCCCTTCATGACGTCAATCAGAGTCTCAGTGTGCTGGATAGCTTCAGGTTTGCCCGGCTCATCAACGAAACCTCATCCAGACTGCATTGCCAGATCAGCAGTAAATTTGATGATGTACGTACTACGTTGGAAGTAGGTGCGTCACGAGAAGGGCTCAACTGAATTCCCTCCCTCCCCCTAGTTCCAAGGTTGACAAGGAGCTTGTGCAAGCCGAATTTCGAACTAACGGGTAACCAATTGGATTGTTTCGTGTCTGTGAATGAAGCTAAGAAGGACACGTGCCAGGCAGCATCAGCAAACCTTGCCATATCATTTACCAACAGTTCAGTAGATAAAGCGAATGTCCACTCCACTCCACGACTAACATACGGGAGCCATCACAAGAATAAGGAGTGATGAGCATTTTAGAGTCAGCAGGCCAGGCAATTAGGAATGGAGTGGTGCTAACGCAGCGTAGTGAAGACATTGACAAGGTGAATGGTCTTCTGCCGGCCTGATACCTCGAAGTTTCAACTCCCGGGACCAACGGACACGCATGACCGTACTTTCCGTTATGAACGTGCCTCATAGGCATACCTGTTACGATATAAAACGGCTGGCAAGATACTCAACATTGACTATGGCCGAATCCGACCCGTTGGCTTGTGCAGACCAGTCCTTTACGGTGTACCAAAAGTACACAAGAAAGACGTGCCACTTAGACCTATCATGTCGATGAGAAATGCGCCCCAACATGAAATGGCCAGGTGGCTAGCCGAATTGCTACAGCCAGTCCTGAACAAATATTCCACCCACACAACCAAGGATACCTTCGAGTTCGTGGATGATGTAAGGGAGTTTTGTCAGCAACAGACAGGGAACTCTGAATCCCTGTGCTCATTCAATGAAGTCAGACTTTTTTTGCCAATGTACCTATAAAGAAAACTGACTTATCAGTTTGAGCACTCTGGCAAGGTACGTTCGCGCCTGGTTTAAATCTGGCTTTGGACAATTTATTTTTCATTGCAACCAGGTTCGGCCTCATTTCCTCTGTGCTGCGCTGACGAGTCCACAAAGGACGAAACAGTTATGTCCGCAGATTGAGTAAAGAAAACAACTTAGTAGTAGATATTTGCATACAATTACTATACCACGATGATGAAATATCCCCCCCCCCCCCCCGGAAACACCCCCCCCCCCCGAAACACCCCCGGATCTTTTCAGGAAACTGCTTTTCAAAGCCACATCAGACCAGCAGTTCAGTTTTACTGGCAATACACGCATGTGTGCACAGAGGGTCAGAGTAACTTTGGGTTCACCCCTTGGTCTGCTGCTAGCTAAACTGAAGTATCTTTGTTGGATTCTTTGAGAAGACGATTCCTGATAGGCATGGACTTCTCAGGCACGTACGCAGGGGGGTTTCCCGTTGCCCGGAAACCCCCCAAATGTTCCAAACGAGCAACGTTTTTGGGCATTTTTGGTAGGGCGCATGATCGATCTGGCAAGAATGCAAAACAGTTCTGTTAAGTGGATGACACATATGAGCAATCCACAACCAGAGATTTGCCTTAGAAATCTTTGAGCGTTGAAATAGCATCCATCTAGCTCTCCATTTTACAATGGCAGAGAATTATGATGGAGAATGTACTTTTTTGATGTCTTGATTACCCCCTCCCCAAATTTCGACCTATAGTCCGTTTCAAAAAGATTAGCAATCAGGTTTTGGTCTTAAAAAGTATGAAGATAAGGGAAATTTGGACAAAAAAATACATAAAAGGGCTTGTTAGGGCACGGCAAATTGTTCCGTGAAGGTTTCGGAACAATTGGACCAGCCGTTAAGGAGTTAGAATTTCGACCAGGTTTCGGGCCTTTTCCCATGGTTTACAATTTGCCCTGGAAGCCAGTATCGAGTTTTTATCAAAACCCACGATTTATCTCTTCCTTTTGGCCTTGTGGTTATGAATGCTGTCTGCTGACCATGAGGTTGTGAGTTCAAATCCCAACCTATATTCAAATCCAACTTTTTTTCATTGTTTTGGTGATCAAGCTGGTACAAGACAAAGCCTTGAAGGTGGCTGCAGCAAACGACTTGTTGTTGGAGCTCGGGCTTCCTGCCGAACTGACTGGCACTTGACTGGCTCACGCCATGTGAACACACCCACAACGCCGAAAGGGTGTGAGTGAATACGGAAGTCATTGCGCTGTAGCTACGTGTTGAATACACCGGCACATCGATCGATCGATTTCTTTTTGAGAATTATTTTAGTATTTCTAGATCGCCAATTTATTTGAATTTAGCAGTCAACGCCGTCTTCTATCAGCTTTCACAGGCGTCTGCTTTTCTCAAAATGTCGTCGAAGTCACACGGATAGCTTTGCCAAGCGTTGGGAATGAGTTTATGTCTATGTTGATGTCGTTTTCGTCGCATGGTGAGAGTAAATAATTGCATCGCAGCTCAAAGAAACGATTTGGAGACCCATGCCGCTCGTCAACATTTACCACACTTTCGACATGTCCTCTCTGACTCCATATCAATACGATCGTACGAGGAAGAACTCGTTTGTTGTAATATCGACGTGAGTTGTCATTTTTCATGCTTTCGCGCGGAATATTTCTTCGAGTTCACAGTGAGTTTTTCCAGGCAGCGCTCGAGCGCTCACACGGTAAGACGGCAAACTCCCCGGGCGATCGCCAGGATTGCTAATCTTTTTGAAACGGACTGTAGGTTCAGCATGCACATAATGACCATAAATGACATGCACCAGCCATCCTGTATATAAACCAGTATCTGGATTTACTCATTACTGTCTCCTGAGATCGCTTAGTGCGTGAAACTCGGAGTAAAAGCACTTTTTTTCGTCCTCTTATTATTGTTGTACCAGCAATCCTATACAGACACAGCCGCCGTGCACCCCCTATGGGGATCAGCCATGCCTCTGCATGAACAGTAGGATAGTGTATTTAGTACATGAGGGGGGGGGGGGGGGGTACAGTGAAACCTATCTAAGGCGACCGCTCAAGGGACCTTCAAAATGTGGTCTCTGTTACCAGGTCACTGGTGGTCTCCTTATCCAGGGTGATTTGACTGGAAATAGCATCCCTTGGTCCTGGTTGCAGCGGGGACAGGTGGTCACCTTATCCGAGTGGTCACCTTGACAGATTTTATAATTATTAGTTCTAATCCCAGTATACTTCAGTATGAGTCAATACACCTGTGCATCCGTGCTCGGGACAATGTCTGTGCCAAGAAATAATTCACTCAAATTGAGTGTCAGCATACACACATAACAATCATTTCTATACTATGATACTTTAAACTAATTATACTGCTTGCATGTCTTTATTTCTACACATTTCCTCATACCAATTCCTTCATCTTTCTGTGAGAACCGGACCTATGGTACAGTGAGAAGGCAATCATGCCTGTGTAATTTGGGGAAGTACAATAAAAGTCAACAACAACTACAACTAAGCAAGAGACTGAGTATCTCTTATCAGAGTACGTTCTAAGTGAGTTGCACTATAGTGCCTTTCTACTTACAGACTTTGTCGAGAACGTTGACACCAGAGCAGTCCATCACTATACACACGTACACAAACACACACCACACGTACACACGTACACAGACACACAGACAGACACATACACACACACATGCATGCATGCACGCATATGCATGCACGCGCACACACACACACAGACACACACACACACACACACACACACACACACACACACACACACACACACACACACAGACACACAGACACACACACACACACACACACACACACACACACACACACACACAGACACACACAGACACACATACACACACATGCACACATACACACACATGCACACACATGCACACACACACACACACACACACACACACACACACACACACACACACACACACACACACACACACACACACACACACACACACACACACACACACACACACACACATGCATACACACACACACGCACACACACACACACACACACTACTACTACTACTATGATACAGCTACCCTAAACGGGTCACGCCGCCCTCCACCCAAGCATGAGCACTATGAGGGGCAGTGGCAAATAAAGAGAATCAGCTAGCAGAACTGGCAAAACAGATGAAACAATGGAGTAGAACGGACGACTGCTGTACAATCATGTTCGAGTACTGTAACAACAACCTGACAGCTACAGTGACAACGACTGAAAATGAACAGGAAAGAAAAAAAATTCAAATATTTCACGCCACGAAAAAACACTGTCCAAGCAAAAGGAGTGTGGGCATCCGAAATCCCACCAGGACTCCACTAGCAGTTCTTCCACGTTGACGATGTAAGCGGCAGGGCAATGCCTCACAAATCCGACAGACTTCCGCAACGCTTGACCAGTGCACTCATGACGACGAAAGATTGAAGTTTCAATTCCCACCATTCCGCCATTGCGACCTTCCTCTCCGCACTCGCTCGTCCACTCCACTGAACAACGACTTGTTCCAGCACTCCACCAGCCAATCCGCAATTCCCACCACTGCATTCTTCGAGCTTGGATTCTTCACAGCACTCGAGGGATAGCTACTCCACTGCGAGTGGTGGACCACGGCCGACGCAGCAGTGACAATATCGAAGTAAATGAACGAGCATGAGTGCGACGAAATACCATGAAGCTGCAGTAAATGTACCTCCAGAGGAGATCAACATCAGCATCATCTAGCTCAGGTACTCTATAGTATACATAGTCAAATGACTGCTATAGTGTAATGCAGAGTCCTCAAAATTATGATACAGTGGTCCCTCTATAATCCGGCACCATTTGTGCCACGGAAATCTGCTGGATTAGGGAGGGTGCTGGATTAACAAATCTGATCTACTGCTGCAATGTGCATGAAGAGGACATTTTGGCTACTGAAAATTGTGCTGGTTAATCGAGGGTGCTGGTTTATAAAGTGCCGGACTAGAGAGGGACGACTGTATATCTAATGCGCTTTATACTGAAGTCTTTCGTGCTGTTAAGAACTCAGATGGTGAGCCAAGGAAAGGCTTGGTAACATGGAAACATGTGGGCACAAGTTATGCGATCAAGTCTTCCAACTGTCCAACTGTCCGTGGAAAGCCTTAGCACTCCTTGTCAGTTTTGTGCTAGATTGCACGCGTCTGACCGTTCAAAATCTGGCTTAGTTGGTGGACTCAATCGCATAACGTGTGCCCACATTTACCCATGTTACAACGTCTTTCATGCTTTCATATTTTCTATACTGAAGTGCGCGTATTAGCTAGTATTACCGTTCACAGCCAGCGTGAGCTTGTTGCGGCGATATTCCAGGCACATTCGCAGTTGAAACTTGCCCATCGTTGCTTCACTCTTGTTCACCTGGTTCTAAACAGCAAACGGAATGTGTGAAGTGAAAACAAAATCCGGGATCAAATCTGGAACAAAGGCTACTAGCAAGAGTGCATAGACCGCGGAGTGTGCAGCAGCTCCAGGGGAATCATCCAACGGCGACGTTTTTCGCTTAGGTCACAGGGACTCACATGCAGCATCTCACACTGGTTTACATGGTCATTTTACCGTATCACCAAGGTAATTTCTGTTGTGCACCACTGCTCATTGTACAGGTGGTAAAAACAAAAACAAAAACGTCGGCGTGAGATCGGTATTCTGCAGTATAGATGAGGAGCGCACACTCTGGTTTATGTACTCTTGATACTTGCATGGGTCATGAAAAGTCACTTTGCTGAAAAGAAAAAAAAGAAGTATTCCGTCCCCGGGTGGGCTTGAACCACCAACCTTTCGGTTAACAGCCGAACGCGCTAACCGATTGCGCCACGGAGACAGATCCATTTGCCCAAACCAGGCAGGACCTCATATAGAACTGGTACAGACAGGACCAGGACCGTGCAACCATAGCGACCAAAGAACAGTGGCATCATTGAAAAGAATATTGGGCTGTGTATCTCTATGGATACATTATTTATAAAAGATTAAGTTCACAGCAGCATTTCAGAGGTATTTCTGTCAACAGCCAATCAATAAATCTGGAAAAGTCTAGTCTCAAACGTCTTGGAGGAAGGTAAGCGGCATTATTCGGCTGCTACACGTCACTGTAAGGTGACTAGACACTACACGGTCGTTTCACTCTGCGTTGTGCCCTTCGATGCAGGTACATGTAATATGTATTGTCTACACTTCACACATACGTACTACCTTGCACATTAGCATCAACTATCTGGGCCTGCTAACTGTTAGTAGAGGGGTCGCGGAAAGGTGGTTCTTGACCAGGGATTTGTACGACTCTTGACCTGCCCGGTACGCGAACCCGTCGAATTGTTTTTATTGTATTTTTTAGTAGAGGATTCAATAGTAGATGCCGCTGTCTGATGATCGCTGAAATGCGTGCAACTTAAAGTTACAGCTACCCAGCCTTTCGCCTCTGTTGTGTGTGTGTGTGTGTGTGTGTGTGTGTGTGTGTGTGTGTGTGTGTGTGTGTGTCCCATATGGTGCAGTGGTATGTGCAGCGATTTCCAATCGATAGGTTGCGGGTTCGATTCCCGACGACTATGGTCACACACGTCTTTCTTCTCTTTCTCAGACTCCTCCTGACTTTTCTTTCATTCTCCTGGGTGGTTACCAACAGCCAGTGCATGCTGGAGTATGTGGTGTGATGTGTGTGTGTGGAAAAAATGAAAAAAATGAAAAGACCAAAAAGTAGGGATTCACTGGCCAGAAAAAGCCACTTCATAGCTGTGTGGTGTAGACCAGGCTGGATAGTGGCGGTCAATTCTTCAGCCTTGCAAGCTGTTGAATGGTGCAATCCCAGCACAAGCTGCTATGGCTTCTGCTGTAGCATCGCTGTCATCGCCTCCGGCGATGGGCGTCCAATGGTCCAATGGTGTGTGTGTGTGTGCGTGTGTGTGTGTGTGTGTGTGTGTTCGGTTGGTAGGTACACTTATGCCTGATTGTGTTGGGTCTGTTGCCAACAGGCTCATCTGCTTGAAGGTGTAATGTTGTACCTGCCACCTTTGTTGGTTCCAGGGTTCATATACTTTCTATTTGAAGTATACATACCTGTTAACCATGGACTGCTTCTGGCTAGATTAACTCTTGTGTAATCAATGGTGCTAGTGAAGCTTTTATCAGATCCACTCTGATTTAGCCACTCACACTAGTAGCAAATATTACCTTCACTGGGGGCAGGGGTAACTGCAGTTGGATCCCGGGACGGATACCTGATGCCGTCAATCCTTTTTCTGCACCTTGTCCTCACCCACTTACTGAGGTGTGGTGAGCCCGTAAGTGGGATCATTTTCAAGTCCACCCAGAGTTTTGGGGATTTCAGGGGGTGTCGGCCGTTGGGCGGTTCAATAACCAATTGAGTCATCTTTCCAAGATTCCTTTTGAGTCTCTCTCCCCTCTCCCGGGGGGACTCATGTGACCAGTTTTGGCCGTGAGCAACAAGTACAAGTACAAGTACAGTGTGTGTGTTGTGTGTGTGTGTGTGTGTGTGTGTGTGTGTGTGTGTGTGTGTGTGTGCGTGTGCGTGTGTGCGTGTGTGTACAGTGCTGGTCAATGAAATCGGTGCTTGGCGCTCTGTGTCGTATGCAACACTGTACATGCATGTGCATTTGCACTGTGTACGCCTTTTCCTACAAACATTGTACACTGAAGGCAACTGAAATCCGACCCCCCGAGCGGTGCGCTCACATCGCAAAGAATGTGAACCCACCGCTCAGGGGGTCGGATTTCAGTTGCCAACACTGTATGTGCATGTGCACTATGTACGCCTTTTGAAACATTGTACGTGCATCAGTGTGTGTACTGTGTACTGTGTACTGTACCTGTTCTTCCAAGTCCAGGTAGTAGTAGTGCTGTATTAGCTGCTCAGTGGTGAACTGCGCCAGCTCCAGGCCACGCATCAATGCCTGCACAGTGGTGAGATTAAACATGAACTGAGCATGTGGTGAGCTGCTCGTTTGCACCGATAGTTTTACACACAAACTAAACTGCCAAAAGGTAACGAGGCAAAACCGTACACACAGTCAAACTGCAGTGCACATTCACCAAGACTGCTGGAAAGAGTCACAGACGTGACAGAGACCCCAGCGCCATGATCGTCATGGCGCCAATATAGAACTGTGATGCATGTTTTCTTTGACTGCATTCTCAGCATGACAGTTAGAGGTTTGTAGGTAACCCTGCTACGGTTATACACCTCTCTTCTGATCACTTTGTCCTGTTTGCCCGCATACTGTATTACACAATGTCACGTGATGTGAAACACTGTGATGTGCAACTCTGCCATAGTTGCAGCATTATGGCACAGTAGATAGACACAGCACAGGCAGTTGCACACTACAGTCAGACCTCGCATAACCGCGCGCATCCGTTTCCCACAAGATATCCGGATAAGCGAGGGAATCGGATTATCGAACACGCATACTGTATGCATGCATGGCATATGCTGTAAATCGGTAACCAACGGTTTTCTTCCGGATGGCGAGGGATCCGGATAAACGAGGTCTGACTGTACTGCAAGTCAACAAATATTCGGTGCATACTTATTTTCAGCTTTTTTCGGCCTGGTCATGTTTGTTTGTTGCGGCAGAAATTTTGTGTTGCGAAGTTCAGTGTGACAGTGTATACAGGCGGCAGCAGTACAGGCCGAAAATTTGATGCGGCCGAAATGGGTTTTAGCCCTGGGAGGCCGAAATTTGAATGGGCCGAAAGTTTATAGACTGACAATATTATTATTACAAGCTACTGAAGTGTACACATTTTCAGCGCATATAAGCCTCCGACGGCCAAAACACATTCCGACCGCATTCCAATTTCAGCCAGCACCCCCCCCCCCCCCTGTATACTCTGTCATACTGTACTGTATCTTACAAGCAAAATTTCAGCCACAACAAATTTCTGTCCTAGAAGGCCCAGACCGTACATAGGCTAAAATATATACACGCTGAGTATCCGCACCTTTTATTAAACTTACGCCATGATGCAATCTTTCACGACTGCTGTCATTTACACTTTTGCTCTGTGGGTGCATAAACCAGTACCCCGGATTGAATCAATGCTGTTTTCTGATGATTGCTTAGTGGGTCAAACTCGGAGTAAAAACACTTTTTCATCCTCTTATTATTGTTTGCCATATCCATGTGGATGTGGCAAACGGGATTTAGGCCTTTGGCCTCTGGTTGGTGGATCTGATCTATCCTCCCCCACCGTTTAGGAGCCGCATCTGACGCCTGATCATGGGGTGGTGGCGTCCCACGGAAGCGGAAAGGTAGTTCTTGACCAGGGAGTTGTACGACTCCTTGTTCTTGACCTGCCCGGTACGCAAACCCGTTGAATTTATTATTATTATTATTATTATTGTTTACACACTAAGTATTTTGTTGATTGGCGGTGTGTACTGTTCATGCTGCCCATCACTCAGCGGTGTCCCTACCTTGAACTGCGGCGTGTTCAGGGATATCCGCTCCGTGCAGCTCTCGTAGAAACCATACAGGATCTGCCGCAAAGAAAGAAAGAAAAAAAATTATCTGCACAGCATAGCGAGTCACTGAAGAGGAAGCAAAAAACCAACGCTCATAAAATTGAATGCAGAGGTGTGTTTTCGTCTAAGAGGCCAGTCCTCCAACACTCTAATAGTTTGATCTATCCACCTCTCCGCTCTTAGCCTGCATTCTAAACATGGCCCGACGTCGGAGTTCGTCACAGCTTCTGAGTTATTAAACACGTTCTAGATTTGAACAAATTTGGTTTTGGAATTGCTTTCCCATACCTTTCGGCTTGGTATATCGGTGTGAATTTGTGTATAGAATAAACACCGATGTCACAGTGTTTATGGGAATATAAACACTGCTATTAAAACTGAGGGGTATCCAAGGTTTATGTAGTACGAGTACCTGGGATACAGCCCAGATGAAAGTTTGCCCGATTTTTCGATGACCAATGTGACCAACTGGAAGTGACGACCTTGGAGAACACGGCCTTTCCTTGTTGTCTAAGAAATATGCTCCTTTCTAAAAGCGCGCGCAACGTTCGTGCAATTTTTGCGGTATCACCCACAACGGCATGAAGGGCTAGCGCTCAGTTTGATTGTGAGGTTGTGAGTGAAGGTTGTGATTTTCTCTGTGCTATGGCCGAGTCTTCGGAGCCTGAAGAAAAATCGCAATTCGCCTCCAAGTGTGAAGAGGAAAGGCGGAAATTGCTCAGGGATGCTACATCCAAGAGAACTGCTGTTGCCACGGCGACTTGGGTGAATTCTTTCCACGAGTATGTCAGGAAGAAGTTCGAAGACAGTGCCTTGCAATACAACGCCAGCACGGTTACCGCTGAAGAACTCGCCTCTCTCCTCGAGCAATACTGCGCCGATGTCCGGAAGCAGGACGGCAGTCAGTACAAACGCAACAAATTGATCGCCGCTCGAATAGCCCTCGTCTGGCACTTCAGCAACATTGGCCGGAGTTTCGACCTTGTCCATGTCTGGGAGTTCATCACCAGCAACAAAATGCTGAACGTGGTACTGAAAGAGAAGCATCGAAGTGGAAAAGAGACTGCGGACGAGCATAAGAAGAACATCTCCCACGGTGTTTGGACGAAAATCGAAGAATACTTCAATGACGTTGTCACCAGCAACGACCCACCACGGGTGTTTGCAGTGCATGAACTCTGGCCAGTCGTCCCCGTACGCAAAATGCGTACGCATTCGGATCTACCGTACATTTCCTCATGTTTTGGGCGAATCTGAGTGGTACGACGCTGTCGAATTGGGCCTGAATTTGCCCTGAACCAGCCGCTATCGAAGTAAAATTAGGTGTTTTGAAGGCCACACGGGAACACTGCGGCCATATCTTCTTTCCTGTGTCGTTTGTTTGAAAATCGGAGTGTTTTTGAGCTCGTAATTTCGTCTTCGTTGTGGAATGGCCGTGCGTACATTCTCCTTGGAATTACCAAAGTCACATCCCCGTTTATTACATTACTAGGAGTTTTGCCGGCAGCCACGATAGTTTTTATCCCTGCTTCCATACGTCCTTTCATTGAACAGCCAAACGAAACTTTGTGGCGCGCCTTAGTTTTTTGTGGCGGGGGGTCTCAAGTTTGTCACTTCGAGTTGTACACAACAACCACATCAACACCTCAAAAGGACCAAAAAACCAAGTGAGCAAAGTATTTCAACGTTGCGATTTTGCCTGGCCTGCTGTGAAGATGGAGACTTCTACTCGGTAGCAGATACTCGTACCAATAAGCTGGGAGGGAGAGCGTGGCGAGTAAAATGTTGGGATGAAAAGAGCCACATTCTCTCTCGGAAAAGGTCGTCGTTCCAACACACTTGCTCTACCCAGATCTCCAGAAGGCTAGATTTTGCATGCACGTGCGAGATTCGCATCCGCCGCGCACATAGCCAGAGTCGAAATTTTTGTACTCTCGGATTTGCCGCCATCTTGACGAGTGGCCACTGCGAAACACCCGTGCCACGTAAGCTCACGATATACGTCTGGCTCCTGGCATCCAGCGATTTCTGTTTACGAGGTGGTGAGCTGCAAGTCCGCCTGAAGAAGGATGATTTGGTCTTCTCCACGGTCGATGGAAAGGAGAGCATTTCCATCGCAACTGACTTCATCACGAAGAACAGCCGTGGTGGTCTCACCGGCAAGGGATTCCAGTCCAAAGGCGTTATCGACGATGAGCAGCAGGTTGCCACTGTGAAGCGGTACGCCAGCAAGCTGCATTCTCAGATAGATTGGCTGTTTCAGCGCGCCCGAGTTGGAAAAGGTGAGGTCGTACCCTCTGATATGCCGTGCTGGTTTGTCAAGAGCCCACTGTCTCACAATATGCTTGGAATGATGGTGAAAGAGTTGGTGGACAAGCCGTTGATTATTCACTCTCATTGTAATATCAAAAAGTATTCTTTCTAGACCAAAGAGTGGTATATTTGATAACATTTAATAACGATAGAAATTTTTACGATACTTCTCCAGACGTTTCGTTGTTCTGAACAACATCGTCAGTGGATAAAGAATTCTTTATCTTTCTTTATCCACTGACGATGTTGTTCAGAACAACGAAACGTCTGGAGAAGTATCGTAAAAATTTCTATCGTTATTAAATGTTATCAAATATACCACTCTTTTGTCGTCGGGGGGTTTTAATCCTCGCACGATAGCCCTTCCGATTACTCTCTTATACATCACACGCACGCCACACTCAGAGGACAGATTATTTTCGTCTTACTCCACTATGTTGTCCCTGCCCTTTTGGCACGTGTGTGCCCCTTTTGGCACGTTGGTGCGGACTGCGCCGGCTGGAGATTATCATACATGTTCTTCTTGTTGTGCGCATGCTTGCATGCTTATCGTGCGCATTCTGGTTGTTTTGGGTGCCTTCTTCCCGAGACTCTCCTTGGAACAACAATGATTATCTGTCCTCTGAGTGTGGCGTACGTGTGATGGATGTATAAGAGTAATCGGAAGGGCTATCGTGCGAGGGATTAAAACCCCCCGACGACAATTGGCGCCCAGCTAGTGGCATCGTTTCCCACGACCCTGAGATCGTTTTCGTTTTCGCCGTGGCTTCAAATCTTGTCTTCTCCACGCGTCCTCGCCATGGCTCCGCTTTGCTCCATCTGCTCAACCCTGTCCTCGGAGCTCCTACTCAGGTGAGCATGCTTTGTCTGCCCTGCGTAATGTTTGGTACCTTGTACGTAGTTCTCCTGGTACTAGTCTTCGATTTGGGATTTTCAAAATAATTGTTTCGCTTCGTGGCATTGAAGTCCCGGGTTGTTCTCTTGTGTACGAGTACCTCGTTCGAGCCTCGCTCCTGTTAGTACATGATTGTGGCCCACGTTGTGTGTGCGGTGTTTTGAACCAGTGTACATTGTCGCCCTCCGGCCTCTGGCTGTTCGAGTGGTCGTGTGCACTGTGTTTCACACCTTCTGACTTGAAAGTTTGTTGTCCTAGCTGTCGTGCATGCTCATCGTGTTGCTTGGTACGTCATCATGGTAGTCAGCATGGGTAGCTTTGCTCGTGTTTGCTTACTCGCCCTGTGTTGTGCACTGGTGCACGTCGTTTCGGTGTCGTCGGACTGCTCCGATCCTGTGTCGTTCGATTTGTTTCAGTTTGGTAGATATCCCCATCGATTTACTCGATGTGGTGGCACTCCGTCGTTTCCAGTTTCAAGTACAAGTGCTTTCTTTTCGTTTTACTAGTATTCATGTTTTGTGTCGAGCGTTTTAGTGCTCCGCCTGGTTGTCCCGCTCATGTGGAAAGGCTGACGCCCAGTGGTGTAACATGCTTCTGAGATTCTCGTTGACGGTCCGGGTGGCAATATTTCTGTGAGCGTGTTGTTTGGTATTTGTGTTTTGGCACGTGGGTCTCTTCATTTCACCTAGGGGGGCGTCCGATCATGGTGAGCCACGGTCTGCCTGGTGGGCTGGTGGGATCCAGCGCTTATTTGTATCGGTTCGCCTTGCGGGTGTTCGGTTTCCGTGTTTTGCTGGCTGGCCTTTGTGCGTCCCAGTAGGGTTCAGGACGGTGTTTTTTTTGTGTTTCGTGAGCGGATGTGTTTCACGCGTGATATTCAGGTTCAATCCCTGTGGGGTTTTTTCAGGTTAGAGACCTGTGGGTTTTTCAGGTTAGAGGCCTGTGGTTATTCAGGGTAGCGCCCTGTGGTTTTTCTATGTTAATTTTTGTTTGCGTATTGGTGACCGATTTGTTTGTGTGCTATCTGGTGTCCTCATGGATAGACTGCCCCTGTATCCGTAGGCTTGTTCAATGTTGCTGTTCTGCCATTCCTTCTTGTGGTTTTTCTTGTCTGAATTTTGGCTCCTAGTATTGCTGAGATGTTTGCGTCAGTCCGTGTTTCTTTCTTTCTGTGTGTGTCTCTGTGAGTTTTCGTAGCCCCATCGGCTGCGCGATGGTTTTCCGGACAACTCCTGTGCTGTCAGATGACTGGTCACCCAGTTCAGCTGCCGCGGTCTTCGCAGTAGCGTCGGTTTGCCTTGGATTCGCACCAGGGCGAGGTGGTTGTTTTCCGGGGGCCCACGCCTGAAAGATGGCGGTTCCCTCTATGGGTGGGCCCAGTCTGTTTTCTTTCCACCCCTTTGCTTTGGCTTTTCCCCCGTTGTCCGGAGTTACTAATGTATCCTACTGTTTTGGCCCTGCGTATCTGCATGTGCATGTTGTTCACATTTGATTTCTTTTTCTCCTGTCTGTCTTCTCGTTTTGTTTTCTTTTCTCCCATCCTCAGGAGAGGATGCATTTTTTTTCATGTGGAAGTATGTTGTCCCTGCCCTTTTGGCACGTGTGTGCCCCTTTTGGCACGTTGGTGCGGACTGCGCCGGCTGGAGATTATCATACATGTTCTTCTTGTTGTGCGCATGCTTGCATGCTTATCGTGCGCATTCTGGTTGTTTTGGGTGCCTTCTTCCTGAGACTCTCCTTGGAACAACAATGATTATCTGTCCTCTGAGTGTGGCGTACGTGTGATGGATGTATAAGAGTAATCGGAAGGGCTATCGTGCGAGGGATTAAAACCCCCCCGACGACACTTTGGTCTAGAAAGAATACTTTTTGATATAATGATGGTGAAGATGATTTCCGAATCTGCTGGCTTGTCAACTGTGTATACTAATCATTGTGTACGTGCTACGAGCATTGTTAGGTTGCGTGAAGCTGGCTTTGAAGATCGTATACTGTAAATACAGTAAAACCTGTAACTAACGACCACCGTGACTAGCGACCGGCCTGGTACTACCGACCACTTTGTCAGGCACGGACGGTCTCACATTCAAAATGCACTGTGACTAGCGACTACCTGCTGAACGCGACCAGCGACCGCCTTTTCTTGTCCCAATGTCGAATTTTGACCCGTAACTAGCGACCGCGATGTAGCAAATCAAACATTGCTTGAAGCTCCTTCTCGAAATTTTGATGATTTTCCATGGTCGTTTCGACACTACAGCTGGACAAATGAGCGCAGTCTCATTTTTACTGTGGAATCAGTGTGGACTGCACTACACCTGTCATAATTTCAAGTGCTGTCAAGAACAAACATGATAGGAAACGTCTTGGAGAGCGCATCCAAAGTGCTCTTTGATCGATGTTACTACTGGAAGGAGAAACTCTGTCGAAGTGCAATCACACAGCTCAGTCACCAGGTCACACTGACAGTCTGTGCTGGCTGGAGTCGATAGACTAGTCCACTGCCTGGCCAGGCCAGCGCTGCTCTGGAAACCCAGTAAGTCGACATACGTGTCAAAAGGTCGTATCGCTTCCGGTGTATAAAAAACTTGATTTTCTCTCTCTCCAAGTGTTGTATGATCTGAAAGAAGAATGCCAGTGCGCAAGTGGTGGGGGATTGTATCATCTGCATTTTGACATACATATCATATAATGGGATCCATATTATGGTCGAGCGGTGCAAACCTCTAACTAAAGACCACCTGCCACTAACGACCACTTTTCCGGGCACCAAGGGGTGGTCGTTAGTTACAGGTTTTACTGTATACAAAATTTCGGCGCTGCAAAATTTCGGCACTTCACGATTTTTGACATTTCGGCGGCGATTTATTTTCGGCGTGGGGTAGAGGGCATGGTATAGTGCGACAGATGCTGTGAAAAATTTCATCGGCGTTTTAATTTAGGCGTTTTGGGTCGGTGCCGAATATAGCCGAAATTATATAGCTGCCGAAAATTTGTATATTTACAGTAATCATTTCTGTTACTGGCCACAGGAATGTACAATCATTGTCCTCTCACGATTCGCTCTGAACGAAGGACTGCACTAAGTTCGCTGCTGCTCTTGACAAGAAGCCAATCCCACCTCAGGTTCTGCCTTCTTTCTATTTTTTTCTTTTTTAATTGGAGAGAAATCCAAATCCTAAGTCCCTTGAAAATCGAAACGTTACAACCTCAAAGTATATACCCCAAGTTAAAGTGGTGAATATTATAACCCCCAGTTATAGATCACAGGAATTAGTGGGGGTTAATATGAGCTGGGTATAAAAATAAATATCGCACTGCTTTTGGGCTCTAATTTTCAAATTGGTTTCAGCAGAGACCGCCTAGGGCACTTACCCAGAAGTACATGTAAATTGAACTTGAAATCGTGATGGATTGCACCACCCCAGGATAACTTACCTCCAGACACACCAGGGTAGGGTACTGACAGGTATCCAAGGACCGTCTAACTCCTAAGCATCAGTACATCCTCTCTAGATGTCTAGTGCTCACCTTAACGGCATCATAGGCTAGGTGACAGTGATCACGAGACATCTATACACATGCAGACACATCAACACCGTCACATGCAGGCACATCAACACACTCACATGCAGACACATCGACACAGTCACAGGCACAAACACATTACACGACTGGCGTGCAAACTCGGTCGGACCAAGCATTCTGCATCAGGCATATCTGTGGGGGCGATGCATCCCACCTGCACTGCTTCTTGATAATCAACTGTTTTCCCATGGTTCTCTCATAGTTCCTCATTTCCTTTGTTCATTTGGCTTATGCGAAGACTAGCCAAGCTTGCTTGGTGATGTCAATGCGAACAGGCTTATAATAATAATAATCTCTCATAGTCTTTTGCATTTAATCTGGTACCCGGGAGAGGATCTAGCGTCACATAACCCAAAGGAGAATTCAGCAAATTCAGAAAACATTCCCTCGTGTAATAAATATGCAGGGAAAATGTAAAACATTTCATTTTCGAATTACGCTACGAAGTGACTGAGATATGACCAACTCGTTGCACACAAACAGAACACTGGAGACATGGTCCCCTATGAGATGATCTCCAGTAATGGATAAGACAGCAAGCCAGTGACTTACTCCTTTAGCTAGCCTGGCCTTGATTGCACCATGTACACAGCTGGTGCATAGCGACCACAGGCTGTCCAGAAAACTATGCACGTACACACACACCCATGCATGAATGCACGCGTACACACACACACACACACACACACACACACACACACACATGTGAGCAGCAAACGCTCACATGTGCACACACATGTACATACGCACATACACACATTCAAGCAAGCAAGCATGCACGCACACGCGCACACGCACACACACATATAACAGGTACAGGAACGTACAGTCATGCGAACGTCATAATGTACGAACATTCATACGAGCTGATATACACACACAAATACCCACACGTGCACGCAAGCACTCATGCACACACGCACTCAGCTGCATAGACATTATTTAAAAAACAAACATACCCATACATACACGAGCTTAATAATTATGGAATGCACTCGGCGCAAGCACCTAAACTGCTTTACAATCACAATTACACTCACCAATCAAAGTACGTCTGGGGAACGTTACGACATATTAACTGAGAGATAAGCTGTGAGCTGTGGAGAAGTAGAGGTTGAACAACCTGCAAGACAAGACAGAACTGCTGTTGAAACAATACTTGGGTGACACAGAACACAAAGAAGAGAAACACAATCGGGGAGGAAGAGAGAGTGGAAGAGGGAGAGAGTGGAAGAGGGAGAGAGCGGAAGAGGGAGAGAGAGAGACGACAGAATTTCCATACCCAGAGCAAAGTCCTATCCAACTGTAATACATATAAAGAGACTTCGGGTATAACGACACTTTGCGAAAGAGGACACGTTTTGATACCCCGCCAAGTGTCGTTATAAGCGAAGTTGACTGTATCTGTTTACCTGTGCTGCCAGATCAATTGTGTATTTGTGAGTGACCTTGACCAGCTCAGTCACATCACGGTCAAACACTGAACGGATCTATACCAAGAACACAGCAACACACACCCATACAGTACATTCACACATGAACGCCAGCATAATCGTACACTGTTGGCAGCTCACACACGCGTGCATGGATGCACGCGTGTGCACACACGCAAGCACGCACGCACGCGCACGCACACATGCATGCACGCACGTGTATGCACACACACGCACAAATGCACACACAACACTCAGCAATATAAGTTTGGGTGGTGGAAAGTATCGGGAAAAAATGAGGCTATAAGGAGGTTTAGCACTACGTAGAAACGCGAAAACGCTACGTATCTGGCGTACTACGTTTCCGGCCAAAATCACACCGCAGGATGTAACGTTTCGAAAGTAACAAGGCTGTTACCCTCGTTCTGCCAGAACGCTATGCATCTACACAGAGTTGCAGTTTTGACCATCTTTTCTTGTATTCGATTTTTTAGGACAAAATTTTTCGGAGTGATCATGGCGCAGCTCAGAGGTACCGGTGTGCCTTTGGCAGCAGGTCAAGGTGCAGCACCGCTGTATATATATATATATATATATATATATATATTTTTTTTTTATACGAAAGTCCACTATATTCCCGAATATGTGCGAGAAGTGGTGGCGGGGCCAGGCTGCTCTGCCGACCTCAAAGGTCTCGGCGTCTACGCAGACAAAGCGCGCCATAATGCAGTATTCCTCCACCCCCCCGCCCCTTCCCCCAGTCTCAAACTCCTGCTCTCCCTCTGGTATATGTTCAACGAAATCAAACTCCTCTTCTCCCTCTCAGCCCACGCCGAAACCTGCAATCCCTTCTGATGTGCGTGACCAGTTCAAACAACATCACCGTATTTGTGCAAGTGTACGTCAAGTTTCATCGCGCTACTTCCAGCGTGTCAAGGGCTGTGAAAGCTGAGGGCGCCTATAATTATGCACTTTGGGTCGGACCTCACCTACAACAACTCCAGTACACTAACAGGTATGTTGTTAATGCCATCGCTGACGGGTGATTATTCTCACCGCATACACAGATGCCAGTGCTTTGTTGAGCATACGGCTTTTGGGCGTATAAAACTGTGTGTGATCGGTCACTTTCCATGCTCTGTGCAGCCTCACTCAATTCCTGTCCTGTTCATTCTGTCTTGGTATTTTCCATCCGTACAGTTCGCATTTTTTGTTCCTTTGGTGTCTTTTCTCCCTTGAAAGTCGGGTGTGTTCTATTTCTATGTAGTATCCCTGCTGATGCCCTCCTGGGTGAACATTTGGGACAATCTACTGTACGTGATGTAGCCAAGGACTGTTCGTGTGGTGCGAATTGGGTGTACTGAAATAGTATTTAGAAAGGAAAAGGACATATGGACATATGGACATATGGAAACATCAACATCCGAGTTCGAAATAGTATTTCTAAGTAAATAAAATAGATGAGTGAAGTGGTGCTGTCTTGTAGGTGTGTCGAGTGGAAGGTTCGATGGGCTTCTCTTGTGCTCTGGATGGCAGCCGTGAGTCAGTCAAGTGTCTAGTCAAGTCGGCTGAAAAGCGTGAGCTCCCGTGTGGGGGAGCAAACCCTTTGCTAAAAGACACAAACAACCAAAAAACCTTTCCCTTGATACCTTGATCATCTTGGTTTACCATTCAGTGATGTAATCTGACTGAAGACCATCACGAGAAAATGTTTTTACTGTTTCCTGATGATCACGTAGTGCGTGAAACTCGGAGTAAAAAAAAACCAGTTTTTTTGTCCTCTTATCATGGTTTGAAGTAGCTCTGCCTCTCGGTGTTGATCACTCTCTTGGACAGCCTGGAACCTCTCTGGTTTTTTTTAAGACCATCACGAGAAATCGTTCTCAGAGAAACCAAACCACTCCATTGATGATGTGTATATATGCATGTAATAATAGCTGTGCATTTTGTACGGTTCATTGCGATTCTTAAAACAAAACAAACCCTTACACTTTCCAGTGCTTCTGCAAACGTGGCTCTCAGCCTGACGTTGAGATCGTCGCGTAGTGACAGGAGCACGCGGTCCAGAACGTTGCGTAGCTGAGCATCCAGGTCGGTGTGAGACGGTTCGACGGCAGTGCCTCGACCGTACCCAACATGTCTCGACTGCTCGCCACCATGAGCAGCTAGACCCGAGGACGCGGATAGCAGAGATGATGAGAACGATGGCGCACTGATTGCTAGTGTGGGTGTAACAGCAGTAGTGCCACCACGCTGCCCTAGCGGCTGAACGCGCTCCAGCAGCTGTAACTCCACACCGGCCTTCAGCACGTGCTGAATGTTGCAAAGGAAAACACAGCCCTGCGCAGAATACACACACAGTGATCAAACAAACGTACACGTGCTCAGAGCGCCAGTTAACTGATGATTGCTTTGACTAGACACACAATACAACAACAGAGATCCTATGCACCGTGCATCAGCTAGCATGATTGTACCACACACCATGCGTCACAGACCTACATACAACGTCGCAAGCACACCAACAGAAGGACAAGCTACCAACTACTTGACAAAAAGTAAAATTTATGTTACATCAAAGCTACTTCAAACGAGAGTTTCACGAATGCCATAATGTCCTATGAGCAAGCATAGATCCTTCCCCTGACGTTCCCGTAGTACTGATGATGTCAGTGCTGCCAACCTTCCGTATTTTTTCCGTATCTGTACGGAAATTCACTCCTTTGTCCGCAGTACGGAAATTAACCGAAATTGTACGGAAAACTGAGAAGCATGGATCTGCTGACTATGAACTAGTTTTACACACGACTACGTGCTTTACCTGCGCATGTACATGTATGCAGAGCACATATAACTGCGAAGCATACGCTAAAACAGTATTCCATTCGACTCAGCACCCCGACAACTACAACTAAACTGGTGAAAATTTGATTTTAGCCTTTACCTCCCCTTTTAAAAATATTCATTATCTTCGCAAAAAATACATTATAAATCATGGGATTAAAAAAATTGGTAGTACGTAAAAAAAACTCTGGAAAATACAGAAATTCAGCCGCCCGAGTACGCAAATCAGACCGAGTAGGTTGGTAGCACTGTGATGTACGTACATGTAGTGTCACATCCACACTGCCACTATTGTCCACCGTGAAGAAACGCAACTCCTTCAGCGCCAGCAGCAGCTGTATCGTATACTGCCGGCATATTCCAGTCAGCACCTGCAGCAGATGCACATACGAGTACACACGTGTACACATACACCACACACACACACAAACACACACACACATACACACACACACACATACACCACACACACACACATACACCACACACACACACATACACACACACACACACACACATACACCACACACACACACATACACACACACACACACATACACACACATACACACACACACACACACATACACACACACACACATACACCACACACACACACATACACACACACACACACATACACACACATACACACACACACACACACACACACACACACACACACACACACACACATACACACACATACACATACACACACACACACACACACACACACACATACACACACACACACACACACACACACACACACATACACACACATACACACACACACACATACACACACACATACACACACATACACACACATACACCACACACACACATACACCACACACACATGCACATAATGATGGCCACGACGTATACATCTCCTGGAAGATAAAGGACAATGCCCCATCATACAATAATCTGTCTTAGAGAATCACCTCTCTTTAGAGACCATCAGTCTTTAGAGATTATTCGGTGGCTGAGACCACTTGTCTTTTGGAGAGGCCACCCTGCTTAGAAAAACCAGATTTCTCTGCACCAAGTTGTGTGTGTATGTGTGTGTGTGGGGGGGGGGGGGGGGGGGGTGGGAGTAATGGAGGCTAGAGACAGAGGGTGAGCGGTGGACACAACACAGTCGTCCCTCTTCAATCCCGCACTCTTTAAACCAGAACCGTCTACAAGCCAGCATAATGGTCAGTAACCAAACGTCATCTTTATCCACATTGCAACAGTAAACAAAGTTTACAATCTAGCGCCTTCCATAGTTCAGCAGAATTCCCCCCTGGATAAATGGTCGCTCGTATGAACAAAATCACAGCCACACCACTTCCGCTGCATAGCTCGCTGGGCATCCCATTGCTTTGTAACTTGCTAATCCCTCCCCCTTTCGTGTACGTGCTTTTCATTTTCGTTCGTTCTTTTTCCGTGGTTGGTCTCACCCTCTCCTCAATTCAATTGGCTGTCTTGACATGCTACGAGGTGCAGAAATAAATAAAAATAAAATAAATAAAATAAAGGGACCACAGTACTTACATCTGAAAGCCCCACTGATGCTGTGTAGGCCATGACTATCTGTGGCCAAGCTTGCAACGGTCTCCAATAACTATTCATCACCTACAGCAAACCACGCATCCAGCATGCATGCCAGCACACACGATAAGAAAGGAGACCACATGCGCACACACAAAGAAAGGAGGACGGACAGACGGATGGACGGACAGACAGCCAGACAGACATGCGGGCAGACGGACATGCAGGGAGATAGACATGCAGACATTTAGACAGACATTTAGACAGACATACAGACAGAAGGAAAGGGGTGTCTGGAGGTATTCAACAATAGTGCGGCCATGAAGAGGTGGCGGTTGGGGTGCCCTCCCCTGGGAAATAATTATTTTGGAAACTTGGGCCCCAAATAGCCCATATTTCACTTCTTCCAAGACCACAAGATTATAGGCGCTGCTTTGTTTGCACTTGCCACACCGCTTCCGACGCCCTCTGCATCCGTCCTTTTTTGCAATGGATTCTACGTCCTCCGCAAGTTCCGGAGCTCGCACTCCAAAGAAGCGAGTAAAATATGTTACGATGTTGAAGCCCCGGGAAACGATTCCTTTCCCAAGTTGGTAAGCGAAACGTTGTTTGGTGATGAAGTGGCCAGTAGCGGCAAAGTGTTTCACAGCAATATTGACGATATACCCACTGACGCATCACCAGAAGCTGATTTCAACGTCGACTTCATCACCGCCGCCTTTCTTTCCCGAAAGAACACCAACTGTGCCGAGGCTGAGGCGGCACTGGAAAATCCGTTTGTTGCCGTCAGTTGATCTGGCGGATCCTGACATCACTCAGGGCTAGCGATATATACTGTCAAGAGCACATAACTCCCCAGAGTGTGCAACTCCCACATACCCTGCTGTCCCGACAGAATTTCAAGTTGACGTCATTATTAATGACGCAATGCTCATTGCACCAGTGATTTACAACATGTGTACGGGTGTCAACGCATCACACGTTTTTCTTTGCAATAATTCGTACAGGATCAGATCGGCTTCGGTCAACCGCAGGTTCCGGATTCGTCTGATAATCCGTGTACACTGCGCATTGCATCATCAAAATGATGTCAACTTGAAATTCTGTTGGGACAGCACCCATAGTCGAGTTGCACACTCTGGGGGTTATGTACTCTTGATACTGTATAACTTTAAGGGCGCGTTCAGACTGGTGTGAACAGCCGCCGGAATGTTGCAGCGTAATCCCGGGAATCACAATCACACTGCACGTGTATCCGGCTGGAATGGCGAGTACATGTCATACTTTGACAAGCTTTTTACATAATCAATCGATAAAACAGAGAGGCTCCAGGCTGTCCAAGAGAGTGCTCAATACCGAGTGGTAGAGCTGGTTCAAACAATAGGAGGACAGAGAAAGTGTTTTTACTCCGAGTTTCACGCACTTAGCGATCATCAGAAAAAAATAATCAATCGCTGTTTTAAAAATGTGATTTGACTCAGTTTGAGTTGGACATGAAAATAAACTAATTCAGTCTGTTGAGATACTGGACCATTGTGCTTTTGCTTGTGCTTGTCGACGGAAAGAATACGATGTCCGGAGTGTTTGGTGCTTGGGTGGTCTTGCAAGGGCGAGGTGATCATGTACATACTCCTGTCGGCCTGCGGTCTAGAACGACAACAGCGTCGTGTAGATTGTTTTCGGGTGGAACCCAGCATACAAGGAGGCGATGTTTACCTCGTGACATTTTTTATTTTTTTACTAGAGCCACGTAAACCCGTCATGTGTGAGCCATGACCAACGGGAGTGGTGGCGTGGTCTGGAGAGAGAGAGAGAGATAGATAGATAGATAGATAGATAGATAGATAGATAGATAGAGAGAGAGAGATCCAGTCACCTATGCCTGGCAGCTGGTCTCGTTGGAGGAGGCAACCTGTCCTTTTGCCACTGCTTGCCGCAGAAAAGGTGGCAGCTTGTAGAAGAGAGAGGCGGTGGTGGTCCATCCATCGAGGTCATCCTGGATTTTGGGAGTAGAAAGTGCAACTGTGGCACAGAGTGGCAGATAATTATCGCATTCCAGGTGAGGCAGACGACTATCTGGGTGCGAGATACCTGAGAAAGTACCGGTTTGATTGTCGCACATTTCAGTACGTGCTAGGACAAGTCCAAGAACACCTCCGATGCCAGGTCACCCATTTGCGTTCACCTGTAGCACCAGAGAAGAGGTTTGCCATCACATTGCAATGGCTGGCCCATGCCCTCACATTAGACCAGCTTGCACAGGTGTACTGCATTGGAGCATCTACTGCCAAACAAATCGTTCACGACACGATCGCAGTGGTGAAGACCACCCTGGTCTCGAAATGTATCAAGTTCCCTTCTGGCAACGAGCTGCAAACAGTCATGACTGGCTTTGAAGACCTGGCACACTTGCGTCTGTGCGCTGGAGCTATTGATGGTACATTCATCCACATCAAAAAGCCAGCCCTGTGGGGCAATACTTACTGGTGCTATAAAAACTTTATAGCAATTATTATGCTCGCCGTTTGTGACCACCGTTGCCAGTTTACGTTTGTGGATGTTGGCAGAGCTGGATGTGTTGGCGACGCGTTCACGTACCGCGAAAGCTCACTTCGCCGGCTGATTACTTCAGAAAGAGTGGCTCAGCGAGTACGCGGAAGACCTCGATGGTGTGAAGGTCAAGCCGTACCTGATCGGCGACAGTGCTTTCACCCTCGAACAGCAGCTTCTCAAGTGCTATGATCGGCCAACAGTGCCGCATCACATACGATTCAACCGTGCACTGAAATCTACGCGTCAGAAGATCGAGAATGCATTCGGATTCCTGAAAGGCAGGTGGCACATTCTCACCGACTACTATATCAGAGACCCTGGCTTCATGAAGCACGTAAGCTTAGTATGTGCTGCTCTGCACAATGTGTGCCAGCGTGCTAATTGTGAATACAATTCCGCTTGGACCGTGGAAGAAGGCAACTCTGTCCGTGTTGGTCCACCGCTTCCACAAGCAGTTCTGCTGGCTCCTCTAGCGGCAGCAGCAGTAGTAGTCACTCAAGCGGCAGCAGTAGTGGGAGTGCATGCGCCGGAAACAGTCCGTAATTCCCAGCCAAATTTCGTTTCTGCGTGACAGGAAACAGTGCTGACAACTGGAGGCTGTTCAAACAACGATGGCCGAACCACGTCATCCTCAACGATTTGACCAGCCGCCCAGATGTGTTTCAGGTAGCCATGTTTCTAAGCCTAATTGACGACGCTTTGAAAATCTTCAACGGTTTTGAGTTTTCTACGCCTGAGAGTGATCGTACCGTGGCCGAGATTATTGCCCAGTTTATGTGTACGCCGTTGGAGCGGTAAACGAGACCTACGAGCGTTTCGTGTTCAACAACCGCAGCCAAGGGCCAGACGAGCCGTTCGACGCGTTCTTATCGTCAATTCGCGTCCTGGTAAAGTCGTGCAACTATTGCGAAAATTGCACTCCCTCGATACTACGTGACAGAATCGTTCTGGCACACCGATCATCCTCTTCCCTTCTTTCTCTTTCTCGCCGATCCTCATTCTCTTGTCGGCGTGCCTCCATGCACTCCTGAAACTCCTCATTCTGCCGTGCTCTTTCCTGATCGGCTTGTATCTGGCGTTCCTGCGATTCCAGAACGGCATCTATCATAGATGGACTGTGATCCTACCGCTTTCGGGTTGTTTTTCCGGCCAGGCTTCCGGCCAGACTCCCGGCCAGGCTTCCGGCCAGGCTCCCGGCCAGGCTCAAGCTGAGAAGCAACCTCGGACTAGGAGTCCGACGATCGGCTTCCGCGGCGAGAATGAACAACAATGGGAGAATGAACAACGGGAGACGATGTGATGGATGCGGCACCAGCAACACTGGTGGTCGATGTCTCGGCTGGTTCTTCTGACAGTGTTGCCACTGTTGGGGATGCAGGTGGTCCGTCCGTAGAGAGAAAGAGAGAGAGAGAGAGAGAGAGAGAGAGAGAGAGAAAGAGAGAGAGAGACCCACAGACGGACAGGCAAATGGAGATTTCACTTGGCATGTGATTTTATCCGATACTCCCATTCGGACCAGCATATAAAGTATCTGCAGTTCCCAACGATACAATGCAATGCTGCATGTTGGATTGGAATTACTCTACACATGAAAAAGATTTCAATTAGTTGAATGCACATCGTATTATGGTCTGAGTGAAGTATCATTTCATAATAATATTACTGTAAACCGCCCAATATTTGCGAGCCTAAATTTTCGCGATTTCTTAGAACCAGCGAGTTTGCGATGGCAAAAGTTCGCGAAGCACTGGGGCCACTTACATACACCCACTATTGAAGTTAGATTTCACGCTGATTAATATTCGCGTTACGCTCTTCTCGCGAAAATAGCGAACATTAATCCGTTGCGCATATTAGGCAGTTCACAGTATATCACCTTTTCTTTTTTTTATTGTCATGCCTGTTTGGCTAAATTTAGTATTTTCTGTTTCGAAAGCAGTAGAAATTGATTTACCTTCAAGTCAAAATCATCTTCGACTGGAGCACCGGTCCTTGTCTTACTCCGGAACGTTTTGAACATCTTCTTCCCCTTCCTCCTCAATCCGTCAAGAAGCTTGTTGTCTATGTTTGTTGCATTCAGTGTGGCACGGCCGAGGGATTTGCTTTTCGCATTCATCCGCTCTGCGATCAAAGTGTGCTTTTCATTTGCAGTCAATGTTTTGCCTGCAGATCCCGCAAATATCACCACGTAGAGCTCCATGAGCTCCCTCTCCATTGCAGCAACAAATAAAGACTTCGGCATGATGGAAGACGTAACAACACGGAGTTGGCAGAAGTCAAAATTCAAAAAAACCTCAAAAGCATGCATACAGTCAGATCAATGCAGACTGAAAGTAGAGGCTGAAATTTGAAATAAAAAGAAAAGGCGGAACATGCAGTGCAAGGATATCAAAAGTGCTCCTGCGTGCCGCCGGAATCTGCACAGAGGTGGGACACCTTTTTCCATGTTTACGCTGGCGGGGAACGTCACGTGAGCGATTCACCTTCACAACTTTCCCATTCCGCTTGTTTTTTACGCCAGTCTGAACGCGCCCTAATGTTCCTTATTCACACAGACCTCTTGGCTGGCTGGCTTTGCGTGGTGTAAACTTTCCCCAGAACTTACCTCTTCAACAAGGTCAACAGCCTCCAAAGCGGACGGTGACAATCCGTCCTGCACTATGGAATCCTTCAAGTAGCCAGTGCGCACCTACAGATCAGTGCACAAGACACAAAAACACACGTGACACACAAACACACGTTACACACAAACACACGTGATACACAAACACACATGACACGCAAAGACACACGACACCACGCAAACACACGTGACAAGCAAATACACGTGACAAGCAAATACACGTGCACACGCAAACACATGATTGTGACACGCAAACACACGTAATACACAAACACACATGACACGCAAACACACGTGACACGCAAACACACGTGCAAACGCAAACACACGTGACGTGCAAACACCCGTGACACGCAACCACGTGTGCACAAGTAATGCTAAGTTAGCTAGGGCTCTAGCAACCCCTTGCTAAGGGTCCAGCAACCCCTTGCAAAGGGTGAAGCAACCCCTTGCTAAGGGTTCGACAACTCTCGGCGAGGGGTCCACCAACCCGTGGCTGACGGTGCAGCAACCCTTGTCTAGGGGTCCAGTAACATACGGCTAGGGTTTCCGGAAAATGCCTTCTTACCCGGTCCAGCTCCACCTTGACCAGGGTGACGACCTTTTGTTCAACTTCTCTCTCTACAGCAGTGATCCATGCAGAGATGCAGCCAGCGAATAGCGTGTGATGGCTGTCCAATAATGGTCGTTTTAGTCCACTGGGTACAGGAAACATTAAATAAAAGCACACACACACAATGCGCACAACACGCAGATTGAGTTAGACACAAGTAGACATAAATCATTGGGCACAAACACCCCCCCCCCCCCCCCACACACACAAATCTACACATTGGACAGTGCAAGTGGATCGAGGGACGGACGGAGAGAGAGAGAGAGAGAGAGAGAGAGAGAGAGAGAGAGAGAGAGAGAGAGAGAAAGAGAGATGGGGGGGGGGGGGAGACAGAAACATGCATGCAGAAACACAAATACTTCACACCACACCAATGGTCCAATACTCTACCTCTTAGCTAAGAGAGCCGACAGTTTCTTGCTGAAGTGATCCACGGTGACATAGAGATGAAAGGTGCGTAGTGCCATGGAATCCAACGTCTTCACAATGCTCTGCTGAGCCTGCTCATCACCACTATCACTACGCTGTGCTGCGGCAGTGCTCTGTGCCATCGATGCCCCTGGTACTGAGTTCCTCCTGACTCTGGTTATCCGCGTCGTAACGACATTCACCACTGACTGTAAGTTAGGCTCCATCTGGCCACAAGGCGACGACATCAACAACAATGACAACAAAGACAACAGTGACAACAAAGACAACAATGACAAAAATGACAACAATGACACATAATAACAACAACGATGTTGTCTGATGATTGCCTTGTGCGTGAAACTCAGAGTTACAACACACCTTTTCATCCTCTACTCCTTGTAAGTAATTCTGCCCTTACGGCATTGAACACTGCTTTGGACAGCCTGGGAGGGGGAATTTGATTGAGACATTAGTAATTTGCAGCAAAGAGACCACTTGGGGATGGTGTGTGTAGGGTTTTTCATGGAACCTTTCTGTTTAAAAGCAACAACGATATGGCGATGACGACAACAACAAGCGCACCTGCGACACAATTTAATAGACCTATTGAGATAGTGTTTGCCTGCTCTTTGTGCTCTGTCTCATTGTGTACTAAACCCTGGTCCCATGCCGCCGTGCATTGGAGCATTTTCAGAGTACAGTAAAACCTGTTAAGGCAACCACTCGGAATAAGGCGACCACCTATCCCAGAAGACCACTGCCACCAGGACCAAAGCATGCTACTTCCAGTCAAAGTAGTCAAACAAGGAGACCACCTGGTTACGGAGACCAAGTTTTGACGGTCCCCTGAGCGGTCGTCTTAAACAGCTTTCACTGTACTGGCAAAATACCGTGATCAGATCTGTCTATAAAAGAGCACAGAGTTCTGTCACCTGGGGAAGCACCAGACTGTCACTGCTTGCACCACGCTGAGTGTGTTTGATTATTGTTGTGTATCGTGTCGGAGAAAGGTCTTCTGGGGTGTCGTCGAGATCTCGTTGCGACCGTGACTCCTGCTTGTCTCCCTGGCTAGGTGCTGCTTGCTTTGCTTTTCTGCGTAGTGTTTTTGATTATTGTTTACTATTGCGTATTGTTAGTGTTCGTTGTGATTTGGTACAGTACTTGTTACGAGATACGACACATTGTGTAGTGTGTGTTTGCAGCACGAAGAAGACTGCTCACCAGAACGGTTAGCTCAGGAGCTTGGGCTTACCTTGTGCAATCACAGGTCATCAGCTTGGACATTGCGCTTGGTCCCATGCGAATAACCGACTAGAATAGTAATTATTTCTTCGTTGCATTTTTGAATTGTGTTCTTGCTAGCTCGTTGATTTATTTCGTTGATGTGTTGATTTGTGTTTGATTACTTATTTATTTGATGCGCGATTTATGTGCGCTGATTGCGTGATGGCATGCAATTATGATCATGCTTGCGCCAGCTAGCTAGATGCCTGCGCCGCGCACTGATGTTGAATGAGTTAGCATGCGCCCCGCGCTGTTCATGCATATATGGTACATGGTGTGTAATGTTTGCTGCACACGCGTATACGTGCCTCGCCTCGTACTGCTTATGTGCCTCGCGCCGTACTATTGCTGTCGCTTTGCCGCCAAATTTAGCTTCCGCTTTCCGAGCGCTGTACGCTCTTCTGTACGCTCATGCCAAAGTTGGACGCACGTTGTGGCTGGCCAGCGTTTTACCCCTCATGCGTTGTTCTTTTCCTTGATGCTGTGGTTTGTTTTCTTTAGTGTTCTAGAGTTCTCTTTCCGATGTAGTTCGTATTTTTCCAGCCTCTTCTTCTCAATGTATTCTACTGTTCATTCATTATAGTCCGTAAAGAATTACGTGACCTTTTGTCTTGTGGCGTCTGTGCGATCCTGAAACTTTTGAGGTGTTAGTAGTGAACACAACATTTTGGCGACCACGCCAGGATCGAGACGCGTGAACATGGATGAGTTAGAAGCGAAGCTGATCGCAAATGGTCAAGCTTATGGCTACACTGGAGAGGCATTGCGTACTTACGTAGAGGAGCGTATCGAGAAGCACGAGGAGAAAGTGCGTGCAGACAGAGAGCGCGACGAACGAGCAGGAAGTAGATTGGAAAGGAAAGATGACGAGCAGCTGCTTGCGAGGATTGCAGATTTGGAGTTGCAAGTCCAGCACACACGAGAGACTCAGAGTGATGAGAGCACTTTGTTGAATACGACGAATGGCAGTTTAGCGAGCAAGAGGGCTGCCATCAAGATGCCGAAGTTCGACGGTAAGCAGACTGTTGAGACCTATCTCGAACTGTTCGAGGATGTGGCAAAGCAAAACGAGTTCAGCGACGACGAGTACCTGATCCGCTTGCGCGTGGCTGTTGCTGGCAGCAAGTTGGAAGGTGCATGCTATGGCTGCAACACCTTTGCCGAAGCGAAGCGCGAGCTGCTGATGGCGCATGGGAAGACCGCCGACAAAGCGTGGCAAGCCCTGATGGCCATACAGCAGAAAAGTGAGGAGAGTTTCTACCAGTTTGTGGTACGAGTGACGCGCGAGACGGAGAAGTGGGCAAAACTCGCCAGGCCTAGCCGTACCTCTAGCCGCGGACAAATCGGTGAGCTGGACGACACTGAATTGTTCGGATGTGTCGTACGTCAAGTCCTGCTAGAAGCTGTGTCGGCAGAAACTAAGGCCTTCTTGATCGAGAAGAGATGTTACACGAAGGACTTGAAGGCGTTTGCGGAGGATGGTATGGCTTACCAAACAGCCCACGGACGTAGCAAGCTGAAGCCTGCCAAGTCTAGCACCAGCGACAAACGTATACCGTTTGCGTCGGCAGAGTGTTTGACGGTCAGCGTTGATGAGGCTAACAAGAAATTGTCAGCTATGGCGTCTGAGCACCGAAACGCGTACGTCAAGGCAGAGGGACTGTGTTTCAACTGCCTGAGACCAGGACATCGAGTGATGAATTGTCAGAACAAGGGTCGTTGCAAGCACTGCAACAAGCGACACCACAGTCTACTGCACAGAGAGGACAAACAGGTAACATCCGAACCGATAGCCGAATCGAAAGTCGGTACGTATGAATGTAGTGCAAACAGCGTGCACTTGATGACCGGCGTGGCTGAGGTACAAGGACCTAGCCGAAAGGCCAGTGTACGCATATTCATCGACCCAGGTGCGCAGGCATCGTTCATCACCGCGCCACTGGTGAACTCGCTGCAACCGGCACACCTTGGATCGCAAACTGTCAGGCTGAAGGCGTTTGACGTGGAGCCGAAGTTTGAAAAGATGGACAGGTACCGTGTCACCATCAAGGGTGCAACGAAGTCCATTTCCGTCAATGCCTGGCAAAAGAAGTCGCTAGGTCTCCGATTCGATCCGCTAGCAGACAGCACAATTGCACGTTGGCAGTCACAGGGATTGCAGCTGTCTGATGACTCGACAAAGGCCGGATCAAGCGAAGTGCACATGCTGATTGGAGCTGACTACTGCAATGAGTTCCTTCTCCGCAAGGAGCAAATCAATGGAGAGACGGCCTGGCACACTGAAATAGGCTGGGTGCTGTCAGGACCGGCTAATAGTGAAACCAAGTCAGCGACCGTCAGTGTGAGTTGTATTGAACTTGACCGACTGTGGAAGATGGAAGAGGTGCCGGAAATAGCTGAGACGTTACCGGACTTCCCGATAGAGCGGCAAGGCCCTCATTACCAAGTGGGATTGCTATGGCGATCTGAGAAGCGTCCGCCAGCCAACCTAAACCAAGCGATGGCAGCGGCACACTCACTGCTGAAGCAGCTACAGAGACGAGGTCAACGTCCAGCGTATGATGACGTCCTCATCACTGAGTACTTGAAGCTGGATGCCATTGAAAAGGAACCGCATCCGGAGGAAGCCGGCTATTACATGCCGCATCATGCCGTATTCCGTAGCGACGCCTCAACGACGAAGACACGGGTCGTCTTCAATGCATCCGCCGCCTGCACCGGAGCACCATCCCTAAACGACATGGTCGATCCCGGGCCATCACTCCTACCGGATCTCACTGGTATCCTCCTCAGGTTCCGTGAGTATGAATGTGCTGTACAAGCCGATATTCGCAAGGCTTTTTTTATGATCGGAATGCGTGAAGAAGATAGGCCATATCTGCGTTTTGTTTGGCCTGAGATAGGTAGCGAAGAAATGTGTATCTGGCGTTTAAAGAAGCTGCCTTTTGGAGTGAATTGTTCTCCTTTCATACTTAGTGCTGTGCTGCGCTTTCATCTCGATAGTGCATTCGAGTCTGCTTCTGCTGCTGAGCGTGATATCATAGAGCTGCTGCTGCGTAGTTTTTATGTTGATGATTGCGTTTCTAGCTTGCCATGCTGTGCGGATGCTGAAAAGCTGCAGGAGTATAGCGTTAATGTTTTGCAGGGAGCAGGCATGGAGTTGCGGAAGTGGCGAGGGAACACGATGACCTCAGACCCCGAGGCTGGTTCCAAGGCACTGGGTATTGTGTGGAACACCGAGTCAGATTGTATTTCGGTGGCTGCGCTCGGTGATGTTGAGTGTCCCAAGGAAGTGTCGGGTTGGTCTCGTCGTGCGTTGTTGCGTTGTGTTGCCGCTGTGTTCGATCCGCTAGGTTGGGCGTCACCCGCAGTTGTGCCAGGCAAGATGATGTTGCAAGAGAGTTGGAAGCTCGGCGGTGGTTGGGATGACCCATTCCCTATTGATTTGGCTGTCCGATGTGCTTCATGGTGGGGAGAGCTCGCAGCGCTTTCTTCCGTTAAAATCCCCAGATGGATCGGGTGTACTCCAGATGCTCCAGTCACTTTGCATGTATTCTCAGATGCATCCGAGAAGGGCTATGGCTGTTGTTTCTATGTTGTGTCCGGTTTGACGTCTTCTTTGTTGTGTGCGAAGGCGAAGGTTGCACCTGTTGTACGTCCCACTCTTGCGCGTCTGGAATTGTCGCCTGTGTGTCTTGGCGTGAAGATGTTGTCCTTTGTCGTCAATGAATTGAGAGTGCCAATTGAAAGGATTGTGGGGTGGACAGACAGCCTAACCACATGGCACTGGATCTCAAAGCCGTCGTATCACTGGAAGACGTATGTTGCTAATCGAGTTGCTGCAGTGCAAGAAGTTTCGCAGAAGCTGCAAGTAGAATGGCGTCACTGTCCAGGAGTTAGCAACCCTGCAGATCTTGTCTCGCGTGGTGTCTCAGTGTGTGACTTGCAGAAGGAGATGTGGCTGCATGGTCCGTCATGGTTGAGCGATGAGTCTCAGTGGCCACCAGTCATCTCGTTTCAGAGCACCAATGAGTCCGTCACCGAAGCACGCGTGTCGGCTGTGGAGGTTGACACTCCAGTTGTTTGGCCGTGGGAGAAGTTCTCCAAGTGGCAACGAGCTCGCGGTTTGGTCGCAAGTATGCTGTCATGGCGACACAAGGGTGTTTCGCGTGCAGAATTGATTCCATCTGCTGAGTCTGTGATGTTTCGCGCCATCCAAGAGCAATGCTTCCCCAAGGAGTTGTCCCAGTTGCGGAGCAAGGAGCCACTGAAGAAGGGTTCGAAGCTGTTCAAGTTGTCTCCGTTTCTGGATGAAGCTGGTTTGCTCAGAGTTCGTGGTCGTCTGCAGGAGAGCGATCTGTCCTACGAGGTTCAGCATCCGATCATCCTGGGCAGATGTCATCTAAGTGAGTTGTTTCTGCGTGATGCTCACCTTCAGCGAATGCACCAGGGTGTAGAGAGCGTGCTTGCGTTTCTACAACAGCAGTTCTGGATTCTCGGAGTTCGTCGGTTTCTTCGTAGCGTGTCGGAGAAGTGCATTGTTTGCCGCAGATTTCGCGCACAGACTGCTGCTGAGGAGATGCCGCCGTTGCCCTCAGACAGGGTGAAGCACCACCAGCCATTCGGTCTCACAGGTATTGATTATGCCGGTCCGTTGTACGTGCGCAGTTCATCAAATGTTCAGAAAGTGTGGGTCGCACTCTTCGTGTGCGGTACTACTCGCGCAGTGCACCTAGAGCTCGTGGATAGCCTGTCGACAGAGGTGTTCCTGCTAGCATTGCGTCGTTTCATCGCCCGTCGTGGGAAGCCGCTGCGTATACGTTCAGATAATGCTACGACGTTCAAGTCCGCCGCAGACAAGGTGGCAATCCCGTGGTTCTTCAATCCGCCATCTGCCCCGTGGCATGGAGGGTTCTATGAGCGTCTGGTGGCATGTGTGAAAGCTCCCTTGAAGAAGGTTCTCGGTCGAGCGTCATTGAGTCGAGACGAGCTGTTCACTGTCTTGACGGAGATCGAGAGAGTCGTCAACTCTCGACCCCTCACTCCGGTTTCTACGGATGTAGCTGACGAGTCGCCGCTGACTCCAGCCATGATGTTGGGAGACATCTTTGCAACCGGTATTGCCTCGTCTGACAGACCACTCGATCCACGGCAGTTGTCCGCTCGAGTCAAGTATGTCCACACCGTCTACGAGCACCTCAACCAGCGTTGGTCGTCTGAGTATCTCATTCGTCTCAGTGAGTATCATCGGTCGAAGTCAACTCCGATTGTTGTGAACGACGTTGTGTTTATTGCCGACGACAACCGGAAGCGGCAATCATGGCGCTTGGGTAGGGTCGCAGAGCTGTATCCTGGAAGAGATGGCAAGTGCAGAGTGGCCAAAGTCCAAGTTGGCCAATCGTCCATGCTACGGCCCATTCAACGCTTGGTTCCGTTGGAAGTAGCGAAGGAGCATGTTGAGCCGCCTGCTGTGGACGCTGAGCCGCAGCCGCAGACACCCGCGAGCGCTGATCCAGTCAACGTCGTCGATGATGTTGAAATACCTTCGACGACCGTTGAACCGCAAGTTATGCGTCGATCTCGTCGTACCGTTCGACCACCACCTCGTCTTGATTTGTGATCAGTGTGGTTGAAGCCCTTTGGTGGGGAGAATGTTGTGTATCGTGTCGGAGAAAGGTCTTCTGGGGTGTCGTCGAGATCTCGTTGCGACCGTGACTCCTGCTTGTCTCCCTGGCTAGGTGCTGCTTGCTTTGCTTTTCTGCGTAGTGTTTTTGATTATTGTTTACTATTGCGTATTGTTAGTGTTCGTTGTGATTTGGTACAGTACTTGTTACGAGATACGACACATTGTGTAGTGTGTGTTTGCAGCACGAAGAAGACTGCTCACCAGAACGGTTAGCTCAGGAGCTTGGGCTTACCTTGTGCAATCACAGGTCATCAGCTTGGACATTGCGCTTGGTCCCATGCGAATAACCGACTAGAATAGTAATTATTTCTTCGTTGCATTTTTGAATTGTGTTCTTGCTAGCTCGTTGATTTATTTCGTTGATGTGTTGATTTGTGTTTGATTACTTATTTATTTGATGCGCGATTTATGTGCGCTGATTGCGTGATGGCATGCAATTATGATCATGCTTGCGCCAGCTAGCTAGATGCCTGCGCCGCGCACTGATGTTGAATGAGTTAGCATGCGCCCCGCGCTGTTCATGCATATATGGTACATGGTGTGTAATGTTTGCTGCACACGCGTATACGTGCCTCGCCTCGTACTGCTTATGTGCCTCGCGCCGTACTATTGCTGTCGCTTTGCCGCCAAATTTAGCTTCCGCTTTCCGAGCGCTGTACGCTCTTCTGTACGCTCATGCCAAAGTTGGACGCACGTTGTGGCTGGCCAGCGTTTTACCCCTCATGCGTTGTTCTTTTCCTTGATGCTGTGGTTTGTTTTCTTTAGTGTTCTAGAGTTCTCTTTCCGATGTAGTTCGTATTTTTCCAGTCTCTTCTTCTCAATGTATTCTACTGTTCATTCATTATAGTCCGTAAAGAATTACGTGACCTTTTGTCTTGTGGCGTCTGTGCGATCCTGAAACTTTTGAGGTGTTAGTAGTGAACACAACAATTATGCACTTGAATCGATTCATGAATCCATTCGCATGCATTCAAGTCATTCGATTGTCATGTCATGAGCCATGGAATCGATTCGGAATCCATTCACCCTATTCACATGGGGTGATGTGAATAGCGCGAATCGATTCATGAATGGATCAACTGCATGATGGAACGCACTCAGTGTGGTGCAAATGGAGGGGCATCAAGCAGATCTAGGCTGGCCTGGAGAGAAGAAAACGAGCTCCGGCACATCTCACCTCTTTGACCATGGCGCGCAGCACCGCTGTGTTGTAGCTCACGCCAACACTGCAGCAACATACATACACATGCATCCATGCACGCACATACACACACATACACACACATACACACACATGCACAAACATGCACGCACACAAGCACGCATGTACACACATATATAATACACACACCTCAGACCTGCCCATCGCGGAAGCAATGATAGCGACCAGCTATGTTAGACATAGCAACTTGGGCTGGGATTGCTCCATTCAACAGCTTGCAAGGCTGGTGAATTGACCGCCACTATTTGTAGCCTGGCATGCACCACACAGCTGATTGAAGTGACTTTTTCTGGCCAGTGAATCCTATTTTCAATTTTCCATTTTTTAATTTTTTTCTTTTTCGACACACACACCACACATACTCCGGCATAGACTGGCTGTTGGTAAACCACCCAGGAGAATGAAAGAAGAGCTAGGAGAATGAGAAAGAGAAGAAAGACGTGTGCGACCATAATCGTCGGGAATTGAACCCGCAACCTCTCGATTGGAAATCGACTGCACATATCACTGCACCATATGGGACACCCACACCCACACCCACACCCACACCCACACCCACACCCACACCCACACCCACACCACACACACACACACACACACACACACACACACACACACACACACACACATACACACACACACACACACACACGCGCACACACACACACACACACACACACACACACACACACACACACACACACATGCACACGCGCACGCACGCACATACACACACACATGTGCATGCACAGATGCACATACACAGAACACACAACATGCACTTTGGTAGAGAATCACTCAACGTTTAAATGGGGGGGGGGGGGGGGGGGGGGGCAGATATGCACAACAGGTACGGGTATCAAACAAGTGATGGCAACAGTAGATGATGAACCGTGGAGATACTTTATACTCAAGAGTCATTGTACAGGATTGTCGGGTCCCAAAGAAACGTAGTGCCGAAGAACAGACAGGCTAGAATTTCACCAGATACAGCATAGTGATGAGAGCAAGGTGACTCTGCCGCTCATGTACTGCTATGCATGAAAAATGAGAATAAGAACGGTCTAGTCTATGAGGCTGCTGACCCCCGAGGCTGACTCCCCCCTGTTGTGTCAACAAACGCAAACACACGAGGTAGAGTTGTGACTTATCTTGCAGAAGACAAGGAGAAAAGACTCCTTGTCCCGAGCAAAGGACAGGCAGAAAACCGTGATGCATGTGTGCACTAGTATGCGTACCCCCCCCCCCCCCCCCCCGCCTCTCCCCCCGCCCTCCCCCCCCCCGTCATTTCTTCAGTATCCGGCAGTACTGTGCTGCTCAATGAAATACAGTGAAAGCTGTCTAAGACAACCACGGCTCAAGGGACCTTCAAAATGTGGTCTCCGATACCAGGTGGTCTCCTTATCCAGGATCATTTGACTGGAAATAGCATCCCTTGATCCTGGCTGCGGTGGTCTTCTTGGACAGGTGGTCACCTTATCCGAGTGGCCGCCTTGACAGGTTTTACTGTACAGTCATGCCAGTGAGTGCCACGGCGAGCGCCGTGCAGCCCTAGACCTGCGAACACCGGCAGGATGTGAACTGGCACAGAGTGCACACTTGATTCACACCATCCGGTTTAAGTGAGTAGCACTGTAGTACTAAAGGTGTGTAGCAATGTCTGCTGACTTTCACCATGAGACTATGCCAGCACTTTCAAAATACCCAGGCACATAGCTTGAATAGGGTATGGAGGCGCACGTGTACCCCCTCCCCAAATTTCGACCTAGGTTCAGCATGCACATAATGACCATGAATGACATGCACCAGCCATCATACACATATGCAGCCGTGCACCCCCTGAAAGGGGGACTAGCTACGCCCCTAATGGCGTACACTGCAACAAACACAGGCTTACGTAGAGAAAGCAGTGGCGTGCTGATGAGCATGGCGTAGCTTGCTGCATATCTCCAGTGCTTCATGCCAGACATCTTGCATGTCAGCCAGCAGGTCCAGGAGAATTTCATTCGTCTGCAACACCAGTAAGTGAACAACGCGGGTTAAGTCCTCTCTGCTCACAAAGTGCTCCATGCCCAGAAGGACAGAGCTTCCTTGCAAGGTGGAACAGAATTTTCATTGCAATTCAAAGTTTCTTGACATCAGCATCTTCCATTTTTGATTTCTGTTTACCACCACTCAGCATAAGCGAAATCATCAATCATTTGATTGACGACGCGAAAATGCAAATAATAATAATACTCTAGAGTTTCACGCTTGCACGATTATCAGGCAAAAATGTTATAACCAGTAAGAATACAACATAACGAGCACAAACGGAAGATGTATACTCGGCTGTTTTCATGCATAACTATCTCGATCACCCCTGCTAACGTTATTGCCCCGCTTGTTCGTCATGATCCGTTGATTCTTGCCTCCCCGCGTAATTTCCATCTAGCTGTTTCTGGCTAGTATCAGTTCTATCACACTTATCAGTCGTCCTTATTGGCGTCACGCCATCGTGGAATAAAGAATAATAATAACAATATGCTGAGCTCGTACCCGACGACCACAATCTACACAGCATGGGTACATAATCACATTTCACTCAGGAGAGCATCAGTAGGGGTATAGGAGAAGATACGAAGATGGCTTATATAGTATTACGACGGTAAAGGGACAGAATTCACACTCCGCTGCACAACAAGTCCCAAACTAGCACTAAGACATGTTAGACGTATATTTCCCGAGGATCACTTGGTATGGGAACAAGTTATGAAGCAACTATGCATGACTGTAACAAGCTAATAATCATAGTGTTTTTCCTCTATTTTACATTCATTACTGGCTCAGTACCTGTGCTCAATTTTACAGTAAGATAATTCAGTATCAAAGTGCGTGTACAGTACTGTCGGGTCCTGAAGAGTGTAACGGAATCACAGCCAGTCCGTTCCCCGGGACGCAGGACACAAAGGACAAGACTAGTTTGGTTTACATAATTTATATTGACATTACGGAAATGGAGACAACACTCAAAGGGACGAACAAGAAGACTGACAAAAGGACTCTCGACTACAAAATCGCGCATGCTCATATCACACATGCACGCGACTAGACGAGACAGTTTGGGGAATGCCATCACACAGGAAAACAACACAATCATTTCACAACAAGAGCAATTGGTCCTTGCATGCCATTAGTTTACCTCATGGCTGAGATCATCCGACAGAACATCATCACCGCCATACCACACAGCGACGGAATTCTGCAAAGACACAAAATCATACACGTAGAAAACATGTATTTCGCTCCTGCTCTTGTAGCAGTTGAGCACTCTCATGTGGGGTAGTGCCTTTGCTGTTTGCATTACGCAGAGCTCACTGACTTGTCAGTGTGAGCACTCTGGCAAGGGACGTCCGGGCCTGGTTTAAATCTGGCTTTGGAAAATTTATTTTTCATCGCTATCAGGTTCGGCCTTATTTCCTCTGTGCTGCGTTGATGAGTCCACAACGGACGAAACAGTTCTGTCCGCAGATAGAGTAGAAAACATGTACCGTATATTCGGAGTGTAAACCGAACTTCAAACACCAGTAATCCATACACCAACAAGTCGGTGTGGCTTATACTAGTATGGTAAACTTATAGGGTACCTCACTTCAAACTCTCCAACTACGGTCTCTTTTTTATTTTATTTGAGAGTTTGAAGTGAGGTACCCTTTAATGTGTGAATGGCTGCAATGGAGTCTGCGAGTGCTTAGAAAAATGGTAAACTTAACCGTGATAAACCTGGTAGATGTTTGTATTTCGTGACAAAAGAAGCTTGGTGAGGCATATACTCCAGTGCCGCTCGCAGTATTTTCTCTAATGAAAGCCCAGGTCTCCAGTAGTAGCCCAGTGTCCAATAATGACCCGGGGCAAGGGTTGTTTGACCCGTGGCAAGGGTTGTTTGACCCGGAGCAAGGGTTGTTTGAAACAATAAGATTATTGGTTGGAGGAAAGCAAATCAGCACACGAAGCACAGAAGCCATATAGTTTCGACTAGGCCTTTCGTACCATTACATTTCAAGTTGAATACAATGGTGATTAACAAGGTAGCAAGCAAGTCCTTATAACCGGCACTTTAGCGGAGACCGCTTCGTGTGCTGAAAAAAGAGAGCACAAGCCACATGGTCTCTAATACTAGCAGCACGGAAGTAAGCATAATGCACATCAAATAGCAATGCAGCAAGCCGGGGACACGTGAATGTTCGTCACGACGTGTATCAGTCTACAATTTCCTTCCTGGTGCCAATGCTATTGTCAAGCATCAGTTTTGACGATGTTCCTTTCAGTTTAGGGTTAGAAAATCAGTCTTGATATGGTCGATTTAAGCCTTAGATACTGCAGTTGGCTTGATAGTGGAGCATTGAAAAAGAAAAGCACAGTCTCCAATATTGGCACAGTCTCTAATGCAGTGGTAGCACAATTATAGCTGTCACTAGCAGCCCAACCAGTGCTTTTCACTCTAAGGATGACACGCCTAGCAGGGGATTAAGGAGGGACATAAGTGCCGTCGATCTTCTCTTTCTCCTTTCTGTTGCATTCTCAGATGCTCCCATAAGTCTATCATTCATAGTATGTCCCCTTGGCCCGCACAGTCCATGTCGATTCCGAGACCGAAATGGTCGGAGGAGTGCACTGCGCCTGACCAGCAAAGCTATTGTAGCACCTACTACTCCTTTGTTGTCTTTGTCTCTTTTATTACCCCTATTACTTTGTAGGGATGTGCACATAGTATATAAAAATAAAAATAAAAAAGATGGCGGAGAACGCAACGCCAGCAATCCATCTGGCATCATCATCGTGTTCATGCCGCGAATCGTTTCCCCGTACCTTGTCCTCAGCCACTGATTGCGGTGCGGTGAGCCTATAAGCGGGGTCACATGTTTCAAGTCCGCCAATAGGCTGGAGATATGTGGCATTTTAGAAGCATTCTAACAACACATCACATAATTTCAATATGGCAATAAGTAGGACGAGCTGAAGTGACATTCGGATCACTTTATTAAACAAAGTAAGCGATGGAGACGATGCACTTCAGCTCGTCCTACTTATTGCCATATTGAAATTGTTGTCTCCTCGTCGAATATTTACATCAGGGTTCTAGCCAAAGGGGGTAGCCAAAGGGGGTAGGGGGGCGCACCCCCCTACTCCGTTTGTGCCCCCCCCCTGTGAAAAAGTGTCGCCCCCTGCTCATTTTCCGATTTTTGTGTTTTTTTTCACGCCATTCAACGAAAGTACAGTCGATAGTCACTACTAGAGGGTTCATAAAGGCACATTTGTGAAGGGTGAAGCCGGCGTTCACTCTGTATGTTACATTTTGCATGGCAAGACAATTTTGGACAATGGAAAAAATGGGTCATGGGGTAACTTTTTCCCATGCCCGCCCCCCCCCCCCTACTATATTGACCTGGCTAGAACCCTGTACATCACATAATAGTCAGTAAAAGAAGAAAAGGAAATGGGAAGAGAACAAAATACAGAACACACTTACACTACCAACTTGAACACTTACATTGACAACGGTATGTATGTCACTTAGCAGTGACGAGACCTTGCTAACACCTGTCTTCAGTCGTAACCGATCAATAGACTGCATCAGTCTACAACCAACGAGAGGGTAGCATTACGTAAACCATACTATCAAACAAGAGAAATGGAACCAGCAACTAAGAAACGAAACATTGAAACTTTGCAAAACTCAAGAAAGCTTTCAAAAGGGAGAGAGAGACAGAGAGAGAGAGAGAGAAACAGAGAGAGAAAGAAAGAACCCGCGCAGATAGTATGCATAAGAGCTAAATCGACACTCACATCACATGATCTGGAATGGCCGCCAACGATGAGCATCCAATATCCGGTGGGAACAGCTGCTTGTTCTCCTCAAGCCATGTCACTGACGTATCGTAAATCATTGCCACGCCTAGGTGAAAGTCCTATCAGATATTTGTGTGTGTGTAGGTGTGTTGGTTGCACGTGGACATACAAAACAAGCACATGCACACACGCACACACATGCACACACGCACACACACACACTCACACACATGAATACATAGAACAGGCATCTGCGAAAAACCTAGGGTTAGCACAGTGCCGGCAACTGAAATCCGACCCCCTTGGCGGCGCGCCGCGCCGCCCAGGGGGTCGGATTTCAGTTGCCAGCACTGTAGTATTTGGAGAATGAGTCCAGACAATCCACACATGTGACATTGCAAATACACTTGCATGCCACATTCCAACTGCCCACAAGCACACAAACCTAGACACTCAAACACACACGTACACATATATACACATACACACACACACACACACACACACACACTTGTACTTGTACTTGTTGCTCACTGCCAAAACTGGTCACGTGAGTCCCCCCGGGAGAGGGGAGAGAGACTCAAAAGGAATCTTGGAAAGATGACTCAATTGGTTATTGAACCGCCCAACGGCCGACACCCCCTGAAATCCCCAAAACTCTGGGTGGACTTGAAAATGACCCCACTTATGGGCTCACCACACCTCAGTAAGCGGGTGAGGACAAGGTGCAGAAAAAGGATTGACGGCATCAGGGTATCCGTCCCGGGATCCAACTGCAGTTACCCCTGCCCCCAGTGAAGGTAATACTTGCTACTAGTGTGAGTGGCTAAATCAGAGTGGATCTGATAAAAGCTTCACTAGCACCATTGATTACACAAGAGTTAATCTAGCCAGAAGCAGTCCATGGTTAACAGGTATGTATACTTCAAATAGAAAGTATATGAACCCTGGAACCAACAAAGGTGGCGGGTACAACATTACACCTTCAAGCAGCCGAGTCTGTTGGCAACAGACCCAACGCAATCAGGCATAAGTGTACCTACCAACCGAACTAGCTGGCACACACACACACACACACACACACGCATATACGCACAAGTACGCCTCCCCCCCCCCCCATAAACACACACATACACATATATACACATACACCCACACACACACACACACACACATATACGCACAAGTACGCCCCCCCCCCATACACACACACATGCACACTCTCTGTATCTCACCGATACACTGGAGACTTGCTCCAAACTGTCTACGTCCGTTTCTGCGTCCAGTAAGCAAACAAGATTGTCGATGAGTTGGGAAACCGTACTGGCTGGTAGCTGATGGTCCCCATCATCACAAAGCTCACAAGCAGCTAGAATATGCCTGATAGGATAAAGCACACCAAACACACACACACACACACACACACACACACGCACACACGCACGCACGCACACACACACACGTGCACACACACACACACACACACACACACACACGTGCACGCACACACAGACACCATGTACACACACATACACACACACATGCACAGACAGTCACGCACAAGCCAGAGCATGAGCACATGAAGCAGTGGTATTGTCGGAAGAGCAACGTTTACAAAACTCACATGAACAGTAGGAAGCACATTGTGCATCTTTCTAAAGCGAGCAGGAGAGGGGAAAATATTATCAACCAAATATGGCAGTTGAAGAGTATCAGTTCGGATGGTAGGGTACAGCACAAGAGTGATAATCAGTAAAGGTTATGTGATCAACACCAGTACATGTAGAGATGGTTTGATGCTCTGGGCAAGACGCGGCACAGCGCTGCACTTATACTAGAGACTCTGCTGAATACATGTTTGTAGCGCCCAGAAGCGAATCCGCTGAGTCCACCCCTTAAAAAAAATGATTCGCATAGCCTCTATATCTTACATGGCGGCGAGTTGGAGAGCATTGACATGCCACTTGAGAGCGCACTGTGACAGAATCAGGCGTACACTGGAATCCAAGTGCAGTGATCCGTGGAGGTGAGTGCTGCGGCCATCACCGCTGAGATAGTCGTGTCCGTCATCCAAACTTGCCTCTATTATCTCCAGCGTATTCTCCAGATCAACATCTTGCCCGCTGTTAACGCCGTCGTCAGTGCTAGTATCATGATGCTGTGATGGTGACGCGAGCAACGCATTCTTCCACGCCAGAGCCACCAGAGACTGTATGTGATGATGGTACTGCTGCTGTTGCTCCCTCAGCGAATCATCCTGATGACGACATAGCGACGGAACAGAAAATAATATTATAACATATTATAGCCAAAAGCGAAAGGCAAAAACGTGAATCAACAGAGGGCAGTAGTCTCTACACACCCGAATGCTCCTTAGGGGCCATCCGTAAATACCGATATTTATTTAGAAACGAAAACTAGTTGTCTAGGGGGGGGGGGGGCGGGGGTTGAGAGCCTGTTCATTTCTCGAAAAAAATACATCGATGCCCAATTAGCATGTGTGGGCAAGTCCAGAAAAAATATCGATACTGTGCACCGTTTTGTATGTGTTCGTTTGTCAGGGAGGGGGAGGGGGGGGGGGGAGGGGGTTGAAGAGAAATGTCTAGTTTTCGTTTCTAAATATATATTAAAAAAACGGTATTTACGGATGGCCCCTGACCACAGTATTGAAAATAAATGTACTCAGCTATCAACACAGTAATGCGATTAATGCGGACAGACTCATCGTCATGGCAATTGAGAACGATAAACCTGGGAATTAGAAGATCTTTGATATGAATGGAATGTGCTTTGAAGTAGATCAATGTAGATTCTCATACACCCATCATAATATTACATCAATGCAGATCAGCACACTCGTACATACATTCTAAATCAATCTGGATTGCCGTACACACATCATGGATCAACCAATAACACCTTCATTGATGTACGTGTTTCTGACCTGGTATGGCGTAGCATGTACTGTCACTCTTAGTATACCGGCGGAAACATCACACGCTGCACATGCTGTACCCAGTGCAGATCCTGGCAACTGTGCCGATGGTGAGTGGTCTGCAGTAGCAGTCGTATTCACTGGCGGCGGTGATGATGATACAGTACTACCGTTGTTATGCAGTGAAACACACTGACTGGCAGGCATTGTCGCTTGTACGTATTCCTGATAACAAGAATACCATCGACAGAGGAAGAGAAATAGGAAACGGAATGGATATGTGCTTCTAGCTGGGCAGACTCAACCATTTTTCCTTTTGCGAAGCTGCCGAAACAATGTCAACGGTTGCATGGCTTACATGACCGAGACTGGAGGCGCACCCAGTACCATTAGCAGGATTACCAGCAGCAGCAGTAAGAATAGTAGCCATAACAGATGCAACAGCAGCAGCAGCAACAGCAGCAGCAGCAAAAGCAGCAACAGCAGGAACAGCAGTGGCGGCTGAAAACTCTCTTCCTTACCCAGAGTGGTATAGATGCAGTACCAATGAGCACATCATCATTCCAGATTGGCTCATCACAAGCCCTGACACCGCGTATAACAAACAGCAGCAACAAAAACAGCATACAGAAAGATTTATCAAGGCCATAAAACAAAAATTGATATCATGCCACAGCCATTTATGGTCTTCTGGGCTGTGTTTGTAACAGTTACAATATGACCTGCACCGCTCTTTTGCTCCTGCACAATTCCTTCCTCTCTCGCATTCAAAATACCCTCGCTGACAGAACCAGTAAGACATATTGCTTGTAACAGCCACACCCATTCTTTGTTTCAATGCTCCCGTGGACGGACGGACGGAACGTCTACACGTGATTCGTTGTGCGACATGTAAGATTGTGCACATGCACAACATGCACACACAGGAATTCTTGACACAGAGGCAGTGCCTGAAATCTTGACATAAATTCAAAGCCAGCCCCCCCCCCCTCCCCCCCCCCCCCCCATCGCATGCGCACACCTGTGCCAATGCCCAAATACAAACACACGCACGCACACCCCCCCCCCCCCCCCACACACACATACGCAAACACACACATGCACACACACACACGCACGCGCACGCTTGCACACACGCAGCTACCTGTTTGTCTGGATAACTTGTGACTGAGTAGGATTGGACACTGGTGGCTCAGACTGCTCATTGCTATCACTTGTACTTTTACCGGCACACCTAGACAATCAGCAAACCCAGATATAGAACAACACAGCTTTTAAAAACGCAGATAGTGTCGCTGAAAGAGTGAAAGAAAGGAAGAAGGAAAGTAAGAAAGAAAGAAAGAGAGAGATAGAGATAGATAGAAAGAGAGAGAGAGAGAGAGAGAGAGAGAGAGAGAGAGAGAGAGAGAGAGAGAGAGAGAGAGAGAGAGAGAGAGAGAGAGAGAGAGGGAGAGAGAGAGAGAGAGAGAGATAGAGATAGAGAGGGCTGCAAACTTTCACTTGGGAGAAATCTGATAGGGGTCGTCCCCCGACGAGGGGCCGAGGGATTATGAGCCAGAGCTCCCTTTATAAGGCCAAGCATTTTTAGGATTCCGTAAGCCTAAAACAATAGATTAGGGACCTTTCATGAGCAATCCTAGTAAGCAAGTGATGATTGTTTTCGGTCGGTTTATCGGAACGACCTGCAAAGATAGGAGAGATTCCAAAACTTCGGAACAAGTGGCAGCCCTGGGTAGGTCTTGTAAGAGTTCTGCTACAGTCAGACCACACATCCGTTTTCCATAGAAATATCTGAATAGAAGAGGGAACTGGATAATCGAACACACATACTGTATGTATGCATGGCATATGCTGTAAATCGGTAACCAATGATTTTCTTCCGGATGGCGAGGGATCCGGATATAAGAGGACCGGATAAGCGAGGTCTGACTGTACTAGTATGCCCAGAAGCAAGATGCCTTACCAGACGTAGCAATAGAGAGACATTGCAGCCAAGCCTGATACTGATGATGGCAGTAGACTGAACAGCACCAACAGCAATGTGGAAAAGAAAAGAAAGCAGGGAAATGAGGAGAAATTACACTTTTTGTTGTTGTTGTTGAAGATATAGCATATTTACGGTCAGCGGTCCTTTATGCATACATCTAGTGTGTCATTGCTGGTGCTCACAACGGGCATACTGCAATTTCACAAATTTTCAGTGTACTTTTATTTTTGGGATTTCGGTGCGTCTGTTCCATACCAAAATTTTCAATACACCGAACAAACACTAGCACCCATAATCCAATAGGGAACTGCTTCTCTGTATCTAAAAATATCTGTTCACCTAACCTGGCCTTTTGCCCTCACACCGAAAATATTGAGCACCTGAAAATTCTGAAATTAGAGTAGTTCATTAACCCTTTGAGCACGCGTGACGTTCTGACACGTCACGAGTCTGTACGGTACTACATCGATTTTGCTGTTCTTCCGTGGCGTCGATCTGAGCTGTACCACTGCACAGAGGACTCCTAGGATGTACGAGTACAGTATAAAAAAACTGCGAGTCGCTCCGTAAGTTTGAACTGGAGTTGCATGCGCGTGCATACATTTCCAAAAATTGAAATTTGGCCGATCTGTAGAGATGGCTCGCCGTAGGTTTGCCGCGGAAGAGGCCCTCCAGGAGGTTTTCATGGACCCTGACAGCGATGTCGAGCCGTGGTCAGTGGATGATAGCTTTGATTCTGGCGACGGGAGTGACAAGGAGTCGCGCCCGGATCTCGTATCGATACCTGGTTCGCCTGACGATATTGGTGTGACGCACGGCGACGAGCGCGATTAACACGACGTAGGTGACGGCGATACCTGTGCTGTGAGCGGGGAGATTGAGAGCGACGAGGACCTTTCATGGAAGAGCCACGTCCTTGCCACCGAGAATCTGAGTGCCCATGACGATGGTTCTGAAGGTAAAAATAAATTTGACGACTTGGAGAATAATATTTGCAAAGTGAAAATTTGAAATTATCACGACTCTTGAATCTTGATGTGCATTGAGTGTACTGGCTACAGACTATACTATGGTAAACTTAGTTATCTTCTTATTCTCTTTACATATGTGCCACACATGTAGGTGTTGGGAAAAAAGAAGATAACACACCTCTGCTACCTCAGTTTACCGGCACACCTGGCATGCAAGTGGAAATGCCCGACGATGCGACTTGATACGAGTATGTGCGCTTGTACTTCACCGATGCTATATGGAGTCTACTTGTTGACGAGACCAATCGCTTTGCCCGACGGTACATAGACGCTAATCTAGAAACACTGGCACCGCCCGCCCTTGCTCGGAGCTGGAAGCCGGTGACCACGTCGAAATGAAGATCTCCCTGGCGCTCTATCTGACGACAGGCATTCTCTGGAAGCCCTGGACCAGTACTGGAGTACGGATGCACTGATTTCCACGCAATCATTCTCGGCTGCCATGAAGCGGGACAGATTCATGAGTATCCTCATGTTTCTGCATTTCTCCGACAACGCTGCACCGGACAATGATGACAAGCTACGGAAAATTCGCCGCCGGTTAGATCTGTTTATCGATCGTTTTCAGGCAGTGTACACGCCACGCAAAACCATCTGCATCGACGAGGAATTGGTGGCGTGGAAGGGCCGACTGAGCTTTCGCCAATACATACCATCTAAGCGTGCTCGATTTGGCATCAAGATTTTGCCCTGTGCGAGGATTCTGGATATATGTACAACTTCATTGTGTACGTCGGCAAAGATAATGTCAATCTCAGCCCGGACATGGTGAAGCAGCTGGAAACATCGGGCGCTGTCGTCGCGAAGCTGATGATTCCACTTGAGAATCAGGGACACCACCTGTATGTGGACAATTGTATTCCAGCCTGACACTCACCAAGTACCTCAGTCAGCACCAGACCGGTGTATGCGGCACCATCCGCAAAAACCGGGTTGGTTTGCCGAAGCGACTGACTGGCTATAAGCAGCTGAAGAAATAAGAGTACACCTACCGTAGCTCGCAAGGAGCGCTTGTCGTAAAGCTTCAGGACACAAAGCAAGTCATGTTCCTCTCCACTTTGCACCGTGCCAATGCTGTGCCAACTGGCAAGCGTGATCGAGAAGGAAAGGCTGTCAAGAAGCTACAGGTAGTCCATGACTACAACCGGTACATGGGTGGTGTGGACCGGAACGACGCCATGCTCTCGAATTACACTGCTACACGCAAATCCACGAAGTGGTAAAAAAAGCTCGGCACACATATCCTGGATGAAGGGCTACTGAACGCGTTCATCTTGTACCAGAAAGCTGGTGGCAAGCGAAAACACTACGATTTTATCCGAATTGCGATGAGTGAGCTGTTGGCCGAAGGTGTCAAGGACGACATCTAGATGCAGCAGCACCAACAGCAGCAGCGCCAACAGCGGCAGCAGCAGCACCAACAGCGGCAGCAGCAGCACCAGCAGCAGTACCAACAGCAACAGCATCCGGACTAGCTCCAGCTGAGCCAACGGAACCTCATCCAGCAGCAGCAACAGCAGCAGCAGCAGCAGCAGCAGCAGTAGTTGAACCGCTACCAGCAGCGGCAGAGATTGCGGAGCCAGCCCAAGTATGCCCAGCTGCCCCAGGACGCCATCCTGATGTCGTTGCAGCAGCACCGACTCGCACACAGGCTCACCACCAAAGCCCAAGCAGGTTGACTGGACGTCACCATCCAGCATTTGTCCCGCCAACACCCAAGAAGGAAAAGCCGCTGAAGCGGTTCGCCGTTTGCTGGGCGAGAGGCAGGCGCAGGGAGAGCCGCGAGTGCTGCATGTCGTGTCCGGGGCAACCAGGCCTGTGTTCGGTGCCTTGCTTTGGAATCTACCACACCGAGTATGACTATGGCCAAATTTGATGGTGCTGGAGCAAAGGAGGCACAGAGTTCACTGTTATCATGTACATACTGTATATATTGTAAATATAACGCCAAATTCGCGTAAAACTACCTTTCTGAAAACGGTCATAACTTTTGTATTTTTTTGTATTTCCAAAACAAAAACAGTTCCGTGCTCAGGAAACATGAAAGAATCGTTTGAAATCAAGTTTGCTCACATAGAGTGAATTTAAAATTATGTTATTTTTGTACTGTGTGGCAGAGGTTTTCAATGGGCCCGGGCTCAAAAGGTTAAAGATTTTAGCAACATTCTGAAAAGAAATTCACCGTTAGACTGATCTTTCCACATCCATAGGAACACCCACCACGCTGGGATCAAAGGCACAGAATCAGATCCCGAAGCGGTGGGGGGGGGAGTAGATCAGACAACATTCTAACAGCAACGGGGAACATGTAAGCAAAGAGCCATGACTGATGCGAACCAATCGCCTTTTAGTTAGCATGAGTCAGTGAGTGCGTTCGACTTTGCCCGCGAATCGATTCGCGCTATTCACATCACCCCATGTGAATAAGCTGAATGGATTCCGAATCGATTCCAGGGCTCAAGACATGAAAATCGAACGACTTGAATGCACTTGAATCGATTTATGAATCGATTCAAGTGCGCAATCGAACGGACTCAGTCACGGCTCTCTGTGTTTAAAAGTCATGTACCGAACACAATACTGGTACTCGTTATCCGTTTCATGACCGGGCACTTACAATTCAAATTTGTCATTCCACACGGCATTGCTGGAATCGGCAAGAGTGCTACACTGCATCACTCTAGTAGCACCCATTGTCCTGCGGTAGTTGTCCGGTACGTCGGTCTCCTCTTTGGATGGCACGGCCGCAGTTCGTGTGGGACCAACACTGACCAGGCAGTACACGCGGGCATTATCTGATGAGTACGATAGACACACCCACACATAACCCCAAGCACATATGTGTACACATGTTTGCACAGGCAAGTACACACAGACACACAGACACACAGACACACAGACACGCATGTACACAGACTTGCACACACATGCACAAACAAGACCATGTACACAATAAATATGATAAAAATAATAATGTCATGTGTGCACATACACACGCAGAAAATGTACCATATGTACACACACGCACGCACACATGACAAACACAAACCGGTCAATTGGAGGCTGTATTTGTAGAATTAATAAGAAGAAGGAGAGAGAGAGAGAAAAAAAGATATAGAGCTAGGTAGAAGGAGAGATACAGAGAAAGAGTGTGTGCGTGCATCGGTTTGCGGGTGTGTGTTTGTGTGTGTGTGTGGGGGGGGGGGGGTGCATGCATGCATGCGTGCGCTTCTGTGTGTGTGTGTGTGTGTGTGTGTGCGCGCGCGTGTGTGATACATGTAGTTGCAAACTGTGCAGTAGAAATATCACAACTTGCATGCACACACCATGCAGCTTACCAAGTGCTACATTGCATTCTGTTAGGTGTTGTACCTCCACTCGCACTACTGCAGAACAAGATGCCAACTGCAGACACCAATACATCGGAAAAAAGAAAGTGAAAACATACATGTAGGTCGGGAGGAGAAAGAGAGAGAGAGAGAGAGAGAGAGAGAGAGAGAGAGAGAGAGAGAGAGAGAGAGGAGAGAGAGAGAGAGAGACAGAGAGAGAGAGAGAGAGAGAGAGAGAGAGAGAGAGAGAGAGAGAGAAGAGAGAGAGAGAGAGAGAGAGAGAGAAGGGGGGAGGGGGGTGGGGGGATAATAGAAGGACAAAGAAGGAGGCAGAGAACAGTAAACACTGCACCAAGCCAGCCTTCATTGAATACATAATTATGCATCATTACAAGTCAAATTTAACATGTGAATCAATGTGCATGGGCGTGTGCACGTTTGTATGGGTGTGTGACGATTTGTCTGTGTGTGTGTGGGGGGGGGGGGGGGAGGGGGGGGGGCAGGCATATGTACACATGCTTTACAGGAGGCTGAAATCTACCTTAGTCTGCGACTGCGGCAGTAGCATCCTCCTCAGCATTTGGTCCTTACTCATTGCCTTCAGCCAACACACAACATGAAGAGCAGCACAACCGTACACAACGCCATGTTGCACGTGGACACACACAATACAATGGCTATAAGAATGCAGATGTTACAAAATACCAACGTACAATGGATGCGTTTGCGTGCTCGTGCTTGCAATCTCTTTCTGACATATTTCCCATGTGCGTGGGAGGCACTTCCTTCAAAACATGGGAAACCATGCAAACAGAAGCACGATAAACGGCACAAATCTCCGCGCGCACTGACCATGCATACACCGGTTTTCTTTCCAAGGTTTTACGCTTCGACAATGACGGCAGACAATAGTTCAGGAAAGAGATCAAATACTTGCACCATGTAACTGCTTAGTCAAGACAGCTGGCAAAGCCACTCGTTCATGCACAAACTCACACAGCTGGCATACTGCTCATTGAACTGTCACAGTACCTTGCGCATGGCAAATCCGAGGCTGTATCCAGGTACGCACATGTCCATGAGAGCGACAGGATGGCGAAGTGCGTCATTCACACAATTGACTAGTTCCTCATCCACCTGCAGAGTATTGTGATGCAGGGACAGACACGGATAAGAGGACATTTTATTCCCGTAGCTATGCAGAAGACGTTACTTCAGTAACGTCTGGCGCTAGCCAGGGTCCACACAGCTTTAATTTGGTGTTTGTTTGTTTGTTTGTTTGTGTGTTTGTGTCACGCCTGGCGCTATCCCGTATCTCTCCCGTACCGTACGGTACCAGGAAAGACAGCTGGCCACAATATTTTTATTTGTTTGTGCCATCGACATGCCTGGCGCTATCCCGTACCTGTCCCGTACCATCAAGAGTATGGTACCATCAAGAGAATGAGTATATATGCGAAGTGTATCGGGGGAATGCATTCAGTGCAGTAACATTTTGTGTGGATTTGTGTGCGAGGCCGAGATCCCACTAGCAGGCTGGTTGGCCGCCTGTCGACCAGCCCGGAAATGGTATGTAGGCCGATAGCATAATAATTATAACGTATATACAGTCGTGTAGATGTATAGCAGGGAGTCATATTATGTAAACGACTCCCTGCTGTATGGTGAGATTTTCTGGAAAGAAATACGAAGTAGGGAGACGAGTAAATGCAATCAGAATGGATGTTAGTTGCCGTCAGTATGATAATAAGAAGAAGAAGAACGCCCGTGATCGGCAGAGTCAGCGCCGGGGGCCAGGAAACGTCAGGACCGACATCCCGTCGACTCCAGAACGCCCGTGATCGGCAGAGTCAGCGCCGGTCCCATAGCCATGCAGAAGGCGTTACTTCAGTAACTCATTGAAACGTTTTTGCAATACAATGATGTAGCTAATAAAAGGAAAAAGCATTTCCATCAGTTCTAACAACATGCACGATGAGCTAGGCAACAAAGCATAGCGCAGGGCCCTGAGCTTCCAAGCTCTCTCGTTTATAGCAGAGAAAAGGCTGAGAAACGAGCAGGTGCCTAATCTCCTGAAGTTCGTCTGTATACGGTGCAGGTGCAGAAACACACATCAATTATACTTACACAGGCATAGAGACAGGAAACAGAATACTGGTACTCCGTTAGCGATCATCATACACTTATCCATAAGAAAGAGAGAAAGAACTCTGGGGGGGGGGGGGGGCATGTTTCTATTAAAAGAAATAAAAAATTCCCGGTTCCCGTGAGTCTCGGCTAGAGGCCGAGTGTTTCGCATCCGTAGGAACGCCACCACCCTTCAAGGATCAAGGCGCAGATGTATTTTAAAGAAAGAAAGAAAGAAAAAGAGAAAGTAAGAGAGAGAGAGAGAGAGAGTGAGAGAGAGAGAGAGAGAGTGAGAGAGAGAGAGAGAGAGAGTTGGGTGTTGCCTGGCGATTGGCACCATGAGCAAGAACCTATATGGGCAACTAGTTACGAGTGATCTTTCGTCTTCGATGTTTGCAGTCATGATCAGTGTACAGAAAAACATCACAAGTAAAGTTAAAGCGATGGTATGACATCATCACAGAGTTGCATGTCACCACATAAATTGCAATAATGACATCATGGCACAGCATCACATGATCACACCACACTGTACTGTAGTACCGCAGTAAACATGAATGGCTACAGTGATCTTCCTGGGAACACACAGCCTTATCATTACGATAGATTACAGGAGACACACACACCTGACACCTTGACAATTAAACCTCTCTTTAGAATGAACAGCACAGCACTTGAATTGATCCTCAACAAAAATAATTGGTTCTTCTCCATTCTCCACACACAGTGAATCTTCAGTCACTGATGTGCCAGAGTCACACAATCATACTTCTACTCCAACCGCAAATGTGATGATAATTATCAGTGTTCCCCGCACTGTTTCGCACAATAATACACCATTACCCAAAAGCGGTCTCTTGGCTACATATCCTTCCAAAATGTATTCTGAAGATGGGCCTGGCCTGAAAATTTGGATAGAATTTATTTATTGCATTCGGAAGGATTTGTAGCTGAGAGATCGCTTCTGGGTGGTGGTGTATAATTGTGGGAAACATATTGCACGCCCTGAGGAAGGTGTTCGCAGATGTGCCTGATGTTCCTGCACTATGGTTGCAGATTTAGATGAGAAAACACTAAAGCAGCTGTTAGGTGCACATGTTCAGCACATGACAATCATCATGGTGCCTGTGTTGCAGTATACACCAAGATAAGTAGTCTTCACTGTCCCATAACAAGTACAGTGAAACCTCGTTAAGAAGAACACTTATAAGACAAACTTTCGCTTAAGAAGAACTAGAATTCCAAGCGCTATTGGATTCATCACTTTGTGTT